TGTATCTGTCTTTCAGACCCCTTTGTCTCTCTGTATGTCTCTTCTTGTCTCCCTCCATCTCCATCTGTCTCATCTCTCTTCGGCTGTCTTTATTTCTTCCTCTTCTTGCCGATCTGTCTTGCTCTCGGTCTTTCTCGTATATATTTGTCTCATTCTTTGTCTCTATCTCTCCCATACCACTGTCCACAGCCCCCATCCTCCTTGCTCACCTTGCAATGCTCCGTCTCCACCTCAAGCTGGGGTGGTCGTGTGACTATATTGGCCCACATTCCTCTAAATATTGTCTGTAGACATTTAGCACATTTACTGCTGGACGAAAACCTCTCCACGCATATAGGTTACGGGGGTCGTTTGGCCTTACTTCACAACACTATTGAATGGTGTTTATAATTTTTTTTATAATTAAGGGTGGCAAATATTAACATACACAGGTGGTATTTCTCTGAAATGGAAAGTGAAGCAAATATTGGGTGCAACCCTAAAATTTAGTTTTAAATTATGTCAATTAATTTATTATTGCTGGCACCAATCGGCTGATCCGTACAAGAGCATAGGTCCAAGTGGCAAGAGCTGGGCCACTCACTCGGTCACGGCACAAACGCGCTCTACACCTGCGAACAACTGCAGAGAGGAGCCACGTGACGGCTGTCACGCCAGACGTCTCGAGACGTGGGGGCTTGGCAAGGCATTACGTAGTAATAAGCAACCAATACAGGAATTATTAAGCCAGGCGTTCTGACGCTGATGAATCCGTGGACGAGCGTCAGGTGCCATTCCAAAATGAACTTCTGTATCTGACCTCAACGCTGCCTCTAACCTTCTACAAACGGCCTGCAGTAACTAGATCATGGGTCCTATGCACAGCCCTTTGTAAATCTACTGCTGAATTAAGGCCTCCTCATGCCGTGGAACCTAACCCAGGCCATAATCCTAGAGACTTTCGCCATAACAACATTCTCTATTATCAATGCAATTATGTATGCATGTGTTTGACCGGGTGTGGTATTCGTTATAGACTCTATACGTGAAACATTTACAATGTTTGTATATGCGCCATTACGTGTTTGCTGTGTCAATCAACACCCTGGACACCCTTGCAGACGTGATTTTACACCTCAAGGGATTTACACGTGAAATGTTTTAACAAATTATAAAAAATAGGCCTAAGCCGTGCCCTTGTTCATGGCCAGCAAGTGAATTATGACCATGGCCTTAACCTGGGGCCTGTAAAAAAAAACACGATTGGAAGTGGTGTTCCCCCTTTACTTGAAAGTGTTTTCAATGAAGTTGTTTCATGCACAATAACCCTAACCCGGGCATTATCACTAGGACCCTGACCTACTTATATGGATTATAAATGATAATTTAACGAGTCGTCGAGGCTGAGTGAAATTCTGACCTCGGCCGGAATTTCACGCCGTGTCTTGTTTATGCGAGGCGACGTGACATTCATAGGCGGGGATACTGAAGAGACGGATGGATGGAAGAAAAGACGGAGGAAGATGTACACAGATCACTGAACGTACAACTGAGGAACAGCCAGGAGAACAGATGGACAGAGGAACACAATGATAAGCGTAACAGATACTAACATAGCCACAAGCAGAGGAACATTCATATATAGAAACAAGGAGCACACACAGGGGAAATGTCCGGGCATGTTTTCCCTTCATTGCGCATCGCCCTCCCTTGCCACCCGTTCACTCACCATCATCACCATCCCTTCACCATCATTCCGTGACCACCATGCCACGAATGTACTCGTCTGCCATGCCACCAAACATCAACACAGCACCACCGTCATCACCACTGCGGTACTCACCTGCCCCGACATCACCATACCCTCATTATCAACATCCCTTCACCATCACCACAGTCAGCATTCCATCACCACCACCACCACCGTCACCACCACCACCATCAACACGGATGTACTCGCCTGCTCTGCCATCCCTTCACCACGTTCGTGTATTTGGAGAGGCCGCCTTCCAGGGGCTCGGGGCATGAGGAGGACGGGGCGGCTTGAGGGAGCCGCGTGCCCCGCTCAGGGGACGCTCTCCCCGTGGGGCCCACGCCTTGCCACATGTCCTACGAGACGACGACGACGGTGGTGGTGATGGGGACGACGACGACAAACTAGTTCGGGCAACGACGGAGAACGATCGGAGGGACCCCGGGACGCCGGGAGGGCAACGCAACCCGGGGCTCGACGGCCCGTGCACAACTCGGCGCCCGACTAGAAACCATAGCGCGCTCGAGCCGGCGCGCGCGTGGAACTCGCGGCTCCACCAATGGGAACCGCGCATCCGGTTCACGCGCACGCGCGTGACCACCCCCCCCACCACCATCACCAATCAGAGACGGAAATCGATACGTGACGTCACGCGCGGGCTCTGTCTGCGCGCCTGAGGTTGTGTGTGCCGCGGGCTTGTGTTTTCTTTTTTTTACTTAAAGCTTTCGTGACTGCAGGGATTCATATTCTTGGTTCTTTCGCTAAAGTCACGTAGAAGGGAAACAATAACATAATAAAAAAAATATAAGATAATTTTATTGTGTTTGTTTTTGTTTCTGCGGACTCGGGGAGAGCGGTGGCGCGAGTGGTTGGCGCTGGAAACTTTCCCGGCGAACGACCGAGATCGAATCCCGGCTCACGGTCAACATCGGTGACGGATATCTGAACCGGCCCCCAGGAAGTTGGCTCGTACCTTGAGTGAGCACGTGGTGTAGCGGTGTGTAGTCAACATCACCGCTGGGGAGACAAAGGCGGCCGGGCGTGGTGCTGGCCACCCCCTACTCCCCTTCCTCTTGTAGGGTATTGGCCTTGAGAGGGGCTTCTCAGCAGTCGCAACAACATGATCACCGGACAGCCTGTGCAGGCAATTCAGAGAGGATGTTTCTTTGTTCGTGTGTGCCTCTTGATTTTGTCCCAATGAACATTTCGTGCAGACTTAACAATCGGTGTCATTTCTTTAAATAATGGAATCCAAGTTAATACCTAGCCCATGGCGACTAGCGGTTGCACGGTTAATGCAATAACAAAGATCCCCCGTGTAGCCTTAACAGACTGTTGGGGCAAGTGCTGTTAGCGAGCACCTATGACGGTCGGCACGGCACACGAGGGGGTGGGTGGCCAACACCACGCCCGGCCGCCTTTGTCTCCCCAGTGGTGAAGTTTACACGCCAGGTATCCATTTGAGGTTGAGTCGACCTAGGGGCGCCCCAGATAATCGCCACTGGTGCTGACCTGAGCGGGAGTCGAACTCCGGTATCCGTAAATGCAATACACTTTAATACAAACACGTCTCAAATGTTTGCTCTGTTATGATAAAGGGTTATATGTAATTTACTTTAGTGGAAAAACACGGACGTCCAGGCGAACCCACATCATTCGAGACCCAAAACATCGTAGCTTCTCCTGGCTTTGACATTCCTACTCGGGAAGACACCGCTGGAACCATCAACAGCATCAGAACATCATCAGCAGGCAAATGCGCACATCTTCATGAATGGAAAATGAAAGACAAGCCAAAGTGCGAGTGTGGCCATGTAACCAAAAACTGTAGACCATAGTCTGTGCTCCTTCAACGGAGGAGGAATGTCAAGACTACACGAACTCATGAAGCCCTCTCGTCGTAGCTAGCAGACCTCGACATTGGTATTTAGCTCATGAACATATTGTTAGCTGACATCATACGCAAGAATAGAAAAACATTTAAACACAGAACCCTCCTGAAATGGAGTCTCGAGACTCGGTGATGCTTTACGAGATACATTAAATTTCGATTTAAAGCTTTCGTGACTGCAATGATTCATCTTCTTTGGTTCTTTCGGTAAAGTCACGTAGAATGAGAATAAAATAATAAATTGAGAATATTATTGTGTTATTTTATTTTATCAATTTATTATTTTATTCTCATTCTACGTGACTTTACCGAAAGAACCAAAGAAGAGATACATTAAATTGTGCATTACACCGTAGTATTATTATGATTGAGCAATGTTCAAACTTACCATGAAGTTCGTTCCAAGTTCGATATTCATGTGATATCCCCAACCGTAATGTAATGTGAAGATGATCTAACAGCTGATGTTGATGTAAAGCAACAACTATCATGTTACACTGAGACGGTTGACCCAGATAATCGAGTCAGGAATATCGAAGTGCTTCGCCGTGATGATGCCCCCACTTTCATATTTGAGAATCGCACCGCTAGATTTGAAACTTTCGTGTCTGCAAGGATTCATACTCTTTGTTTTTTTTCGGTAAAGCCACGTAGGTGACTTTAAAGTCACGTAGGTGACTTTACCGGAAGAAAAAAAACAAAGAGTATAATAGCACCGCTGTCCACCCATACGGTTTAGCCCGTATTCTTGTACAGGGAAATTGAGTTTTCAGGTCCATACGGCGTACTGCCGTTTCAATACGGGCAATATATATTGTCTATTTGTTTGTGTTTCTCCCTTGTGATAGGACTTTGTAGGATGAACGTTGAGATTTTTAAGGGCACGGGGTGACCAATTAGGTCTGAATTGGTCTGTAATAAGCTAGGCAAGAGAGAAACACGAACAATTTGACAAAACACATTTTTTTTGCCCGTATTGAAATGGCTGTACGCTGTATGGACCTGATTAACTCAATTTCCACGTACAAGAATACAGGGTTAAACCGTATGGGTTTACAGCTACGAAATTAACTTAATTCTGTCAAACAAACATCATTGGCCTCATCTTCTTGGTTCTTTCGGTAAAGTCACGTAAAATGGGAAAAAATAAAATAAAAATAATAAAATTATTGTATTTCCCTTCTACGTGACTTTACCGAAAGAACCAAGAAGATGAATCCCTGCGGTCACGAAAGCTTTAAATCGAAATCATTGGCCTCGGTCACTTTCTTTCAAACACGAGCTTGTGTTTTCACGCCATTAAGCCAACGAGGCCGAAGGGAGACAAGCGTCGTGGTACACGGCCACCGCTACTTTGCTCCACCCCTCATTTCCCGTCGTTGGACACGACCACGACTGAGGGGGGGGGCAGGGTGACACCCCCCCCCCGTCTCCCTGTCTCCTACGTCTCGACTCATTGGAAGAATAATAACAGCAGCAGCAGCAGCAGCAGGAGGACGAACTGGAAGTGTGACAACAGCAGGAGGAGCTATAGGAGGCGCGGCCGGCAGGGAGGCGCCTCCACGTGGGCGGACTAAACGGAACCCAACAGAGCCCCACGGTCGCCTTTGGTTCTTATCACTTTAGTGCGTTCCTCCTCACGCCATGGCCGCTCCGCTCCGCGTCTCCATCGTCGGCTCGGGAAACTGGTGAGCTCCCCCTTCTCCTCCCCCGCTTGACGAGAGACCATTTCGTTTTTCTTGTTGTTGTTATTGTATCCCCCGGAGCCACATCAGGCGGAAGCTGCCCGAGGTTCAATCACGGCGCCCGCGGCGATGGAGGTTGATGTTGTTGATGTTGTTGTTGATGTCTCGTCGCCCCGGGTGTCCGCTCGCTGTTGTGAGTGAGGTCCTCCGCACCAAGGCTGGGCGCACGTCTCTCTGGTGGGTGGTGGTGGGTGGTGAGGCTGACAAGAGCCGATATGTTTTGACGGCAGGGAGGTTATCTTCATGGTTCTTTCGGTAAAGTCATGGTTCTTTCAGTAAAGTCATGGTTCTTTCGGTAAAGTCATGGTTCTTTCGGTAAAGTCATGGTTCTTTCGGTAAAGTCGTGGTTCTTTCGGTAAAGTCGCGTGACTTTGCCGAAAGAACCAAGAAGGTGAATCCCTGCAGTCACGAAAGCTTTCAGGCAAGGAGGTCGTGGGGTTTTAAAAAATTTGTTTTATTATTATTACACGATTTAATATTTAACTCGCTCTGTTGTCGTACCCTCAAATCTTGTAACTCAATTTTAACCCACTTCCCAATGCGGTATCGACTGCAAACTTGGTATACTTATATCATACTGATGACAATACTATATTCTATCATTAATTTTTTTTAAATAATATTTTTTAAATGTTATGTTTCGGCTTGGGTCTTATTGTCCACGCTCAACTCACGTTGGCTGTAATTGACCACGCCCCCCTTACGTTGTGGCAAGTTTCGGGGCCACTTCATGGAGTCTTGGAGTTCTTACATTACTAGTACGGTACATTTCATTAAAGCGTGTTTTTTTAAGTATTTTAAAATATAACTTATTTTTAATGAGGTGTCTCTCCCTCCGTGAAGGTGTAGTCGTGGTCACCTTGTGTTCAAGAAGCCGATGCTGCTCTGCATTGTTGGTTCCAGTTGAGCTCCGAGTTTACTGTGCTACGGGGTGGTTGGTGGTGACACATCGAGCTAACAAAAAAAAAACCTTCATCACGAGCCGAGACGAATGTGTTCAAGTCTTTTGTTATTGACTTGAGCCATGATCGCTGGATGAAGACCCTCCCCGAGGCGTCCTGCGACGTCCCATTTTGAACTCTCGTCTGGCCCAAGCTGATTTCAGTCTCTTAGTTTCCACGATGGACGTCCTACATTGATGCTGTTTGGACTGTTATGGTCACTGGGTGTATGGTTTATGTACAAGTAGTCTGTTTCCCTTGCACTTGAATAACCGTGGCCCAACCTAAACCCCAGTCAATTGATAATTCCCTATTATAATCGAGTACATTAAAAAAAAGAATTCGATATGGTTGTAGGAATTTAGATGTCATGTCGAAAAAAAATTACAGTTTAGTTAAGGAAATATCTCGCCAAGAAGATACAACTTCTTCAACTGATGGTAACATCATCGAAGTTCTCCATGATTGGCTGTCAACGCCCGGAGATGGAATTACGACGGCTAGAAAAGCATCTCCTTCATGACATCTCGCCCGACCTGTAGTTCACTGCAATTCCAGTACAACCACAGTCCCGCCCCCACCTTCATATTTGAGAATCTCTTGCGATGCCTCCTCTTCTTGCCCAGTGGACCCACAACTTCCTTCCACCTTCACTGGGGGGCAGTTAAGCCTTTTGACGACAAAGTATTTCTCGCGTTCATTTCTGGAAGAGGTGTACGGTAACTTTACAACATAAATGGGCGTGTGTCCTCTGTGATGCATCCGCCAGGTTACATGTGCACGCTTTCGCCACGTAGAACAGGTTGCAGGAGTGGGTGTGTTATTAGGCACCTTATAAAAGTGTAATTCTTACCTCGGAATATATTCTCTGCATAGCTCCTATTGCATTACTCACGATAATTACCGTGCGGTCTACTGTGGCTAAACCACACTTAATCCTGCCTTTGTGAGTCTGATGGATATGCTGTGAGTCCGACGCATGCCTTAATCTGCCTCAATAAGCCTCTGGAAATAACTAAACGCCGAGGAGAATTAAAGGCGCCTTTATCTACATGAACTTCTGGAAATGGCAATGAACTCTAAACATCCCCAAGGCACCTAACTTTATCTGGCTCTATGAGCCTCAGCCAATAGCATTGAACAATCGAGAAACTTAGAAGTGCCTAAAGTGCGCTGTGTTACTGGGTGGTGTGTACAGGTGAATGTGCGACGACTGCTCGTGTCTCTATACATGAAGGCCGTAATTATAATATATATTGGGGGACACACACAACCCCCCCCAATATTCAAATATGCTCAAAATGTCCCCCCCAATATATTGCTATAAAATAGATTTCTGTTTATACGATTGTGGTTATGGTTGTACTTTATAAATCCCTAATCTCTGTCATTACATACAATGAAAGAAGAAGAGGTAAGAAAACAGAGCAATGTAATACAATACACTATTAGACATTATTGTAAAAAAAAAATCCATCCTATGTTAGTGATTTTTTTAAAATATTTTAGGCAGGAAATGGCAGGAAATTCGTTTTAAAATTTCGAATTTTTTTCTGGGGGTGACCCCCAGACCCTCTAGAAGATTTTGTCCCCCCCCCCAATCTTGACTCCATGGCTACGGCCTTGGTATACATTACTTATTCCATGTCTAGAACGTTAATGTGCAGGGGTCAGCAACCTGCCGCTCCGGAGCCGCGTGTGGCTCTTTAAGGACTGCAGTGCGGCTCTTGAAATTTGAAAAAAAAATGTTTCTCGTTATTTTGTTTGCCAACCCCTGACCATGGAAGTCCAGTTCACCACGGGAGTCCAGTTTACCACGAGAGTCCAGTTCACCATGGGAGTACAGTTTACCACGAGAGTCCAGTTCACCATGGGAGTCCAGTTTACCACGAAAGTCCAGTTCACCATGGGCAGGGGTCGGCAACCTGCGGATCCAGAGGTCGCATGCTCATTAATGAGTGTTTTGTGGCATTATTTATTCAGGACGATCATCTCGTATTCATCACAGTCCATTGTGGCTCTTGAAATATTGAGGGGTTTTTTTGTTTACCGAATTCGAAAAAATGGCTCGTGTTAATTTGATTGCCGACCGCTACTAATGTGGAACAACTAATATGGATGCTCTTCACTATCGTTGCACAGGAAAACCTCAGTGTCGTAAGATTTTCAGGGGGGCGGGTGGTGAGGGGGGAGCATCTTTATTGAGATGTTTTGCCAGTTGCGTTAAGTACCCCCGCACCTCCGATTAGCACGGTTGGCTACGTACGGTGCGAAAGAAGTTCACTATACATACTTTGTATATGGGAGGAAACCAGAGTACCAGTAAAAGTGTCATCAGGGAGATGACACTCAAAGGTGCACAGACATAGATTGAATAATCATTTGTTTTCCTGCCATCTCCTGACCACCACGTAGCCCACTACTAAAACACCTGCTCTTGCCTGGGAGTCTCCTATCTCAAGCGTTAACAAGGTTCAACTCTCACACTTTCCATGAGATCTGACAAGGTGAGGTGTGAGGTACAAGTAAGGAGGCAGCGTGCGTGAACTATGCCGATTAAAGTGCTTTCCCTGCAGATTTCGTATACAGTGCGGACAGATATCGGCAAAACACACGCATACTTTTACAAAGGGTGTGGTTGTACCCGCTGAGCTCTGCGTCTTGTGCAATGCGTGGTTTTTGCGGTGGGAGCGTAACCAGTCACACTACCTTATGGCCGTACCTCGTTTACGGGGCTCCTGACAAGTGGCCTGGAGGATGATAGGGTGCGAAAAATAATAATAAAACGAGACTGCAAACGAGAAGCAATATAAACGAGACGGTGGAGGGGGGGGAGGAAATGGGACAACATGGATCTATGGTTAAATCGTACCATCGAGTCGTGACCATCGATTGATAGAATCGAGACTCCACTGCTGCATTGCCATCCCCTGGCTACCTCGCAGCCCTAGTCTTACAATGCCCCTGGTAATCACAGGCAGTTCCCCACCTATGCCATAACCAGGCACAACTCGGCTTGGCTTCTGAGAACTGGCAAAATCCGCTGCGGTCGGCGTGATTGTATCCTTGTTGATGATCTGGAAAACTAGTGTTCATTTTTTGTGTTTGGCGCAGGGGTTCCGCCATCTCCAAAATCATCGGCCGCAATGTGCAGCAGCTGAGCAAGTTCGATAAGACGGTGAGGATGTGGGTGTTCGAGGAGGAAGTGCAGGGACGAAAGCTGACAGAGATCATAAACACTGACCACGAGAATGTCAAGTATCTGCCGGGACACAAGCTGCCTGAAAATGTGGTGAGTGGTGGGCGGGTCTAGCGGGACACAACCACTCGACATGCCGCCAACTTAGGCCTCCCTTTGGCCTTGGCTGCTTCTTCAACCTTGCGTTGTAGTGCTGCTGAATAAAAATTAACAAAAGTATATTGGTGCAATGGTGGGCAGATTCAAGAATGTTACATGTATATTTCGAGACACTTGAACAATGTGTGTTTTGCCATCAGTATGCTCGTGACACAGCTTTTTACTAGGTATGGTATGTGAATCAATTATGACTGTTCATCGGATGTAAAAAATCCACCCGCATTTCTTGAAAGGGGAGAAATCGTGGACGTACTCAGATGAACTGACTTTTTAAACCACGCTAGATGTCACTGTGCATTCAGTTTTGTGGATGTGTCAAACCATTTACTCATTCCATACACAAGCTGTATATTTTATAAAACAACATTTTCTTCATGGTTGTTTTAGACATTTCAATTGAGCATGCTTAATTTGTGGAACTGCCCCTAAGATACCACAAGTTTAACATGATAGCACAATAACTAATCTGTCATCTGATGCTTTTCCAAATGTTTTCATTGTTTGCAGCACTATATGAAGGATTTAAATGCTGGATGCCAAGTATACAGTGATTGATTTACATCCATTCTGACATGATACATCCATCGAATCACACGTGTATGAATCAACTACTTAATATTTGTACAAATTCTATGCAAATTAATGGCAATTATTTGATATGCTTATGTTACATTGAGTTGAACGGAACGAACAACATTGCACAAACGAGACAGAAAGATCGTGACGGTCTATCAAATTGCCGTGGGGTATAAAACCCTCGCACGTGCTCCCAGGATGCCGCCTCTTCCTGTGGGCACCCTTCACCGTCGTGTTGTTTGCCACATTGCGCCAGGTGGCCGTGCCGGACATTAGCCAGGCGGTGGAGGGCGCCAACCTGCTGGTGTTCGTGGTGCCCCATCAGTTCATCCGCGGCCTCTGTGCGAAAATCAAGGGGCACGCGGCGACTGGGGCCCTAGGCATCTCCCTCATTAAGGTGCCGCGTCGCACGGCTTGCGGCTGGGTGCAGTTACGATGAATTCTTTTTCAGCGTTCCGGTAAATCTGCCGAGCTTTCGTGCCTGGCTTTGGCCGCACGAGGTGGCGGTGTCTGACGGTGCGTGTTGCGCCGCTTGCAGGGCGTGGACGAGGGTCCTGACGGACTGAAGCTCATCTCCGACATCATCCGTGAGCAGCTCGACATCCCCGTGAGCGTGCTCATGGGCGCCAACATTGCCAACGAAGTGGCCGAGGAGAAGTTCTGCGAGACCACAATCGGTGAGGGGAGGATGTTGCTACACGCATCCACCGCAGGTTTCGCAACCCAGGATGATGGAGCCCAGGGTCGCGTGGAACGGGCAGTGGTGACGAGGAAAAAATGCCCAATACCAATAGCATCTCACTTATAGCATCATACAAATAGCAGCAGGGCGAGAATTGCATCAAAATTGCCATGCATGCTTTTACGCATTCGGTTGAAATGTTGTACGTAATTCAGATATATATATTTTTTTTAACGCGCAAAAATGCCCAGACTTGGGTGGCTTATCTTGAGCGCCGGTTGAGATGCTGCCGGAAGGGGGAGGAGCTGACGGGGGGCGGTCTATGCCGTGCGAGCTTAGGCAGCAAGGACCGCGAGGCGGGCATCCTCTTCAAGGAGCTCATGCAGACGCCAAACTTCCGCATCACGGTGGTGGAGGAGGCGGACACGGTGGAGATTTGCGGGGCCCTCAAGGTGATGAGACTTGGAAGAAACACTTGTGCCGAGGATTTCCAGGCTCATTGTCTTCCTCTGCCTGTGACGTACTGACTTAAGTTATCCTTGCCCTTTGTGTCTGTACAGCATTTTGAGATGCGGTCGCATTTGACGCTAAAAAGATCCAATTAAAATATTATTTTGTATAAATCGCACACCCCGCATCTCAGCATCACTTCTAAATTGTTAAAGATGCGTACTCACCATTGTAAACTATGCCTTGTGACCTAGCCACCGCCGGTGCTCTGAACACCGGTTAACTCCGCGCGTCCTCCCCCACGGGGCACCGGCAGAACATCGTGGCGGTGGGCGCCGGATTCTGCGACGGGCTCGACTGCGGTGACAACACCAAGGCGGCCGTGATCCGCCTGGGCCTCATGGAGATGATCGCGTTCGCGCGCATCTTCTGCCGCGGAGCCGTGAGCTCGGCCACCTTCCTGGAGAGCTGCGGCGTCGCCGACCTCATCACCACGTGCTACGGGGGCCGCAACCGCCGCGTCTCCGAGGCCTTCGTGCGCACACGCAAGGTCGTGCGATGAGCCGCTCCCTACGCGACGTTCGGGACGTTGGCAGACGAGATGGCTTTTTCTTAAATGCTCATGCGTATTGATGTTCGGCATTTTGGATCGTGGCCTTGCAAAACGTTATTTTATACTTTCCAACCGAGGTTGGAAGTATTTATGCGTTAGCCCTCTCAGGCTGTCCATCTGTCTGTCCCAAGGCGGGGGGGAGGGGAGTTACGATAATCTTTGGACAGATGCTCCAATATACACAACGTGAGTATAAAGCTGCGTTGCTGTTAAGGATTTACCATGTCAAAAAACAGCCTCAGGGTGTCCCAAAGCTTGGCGGTTAAAACCAGGGTTTGAAGTTTAAGCTTTGCCGATCAAGGTGACGACCCCATTGCGTGTAACGTCACCACGCACGTCGCCCACCGTGCGATGTCATCTCGTTGCGTGGCTTGGAAGGAACATCTTAATATCGCTAATGAAATGCTTCCGAGGACAAACGTGTGTTGGAAATCTGTACAGAATACATGCATATGCGTGATTTTTCATGTCGCAGTACAACCCAAAATCACATTGGAGAGAGCTGTGCAGCATCTTGAAAATCCACGCAGTAGCGCATGCAGAGGGGGTACACATATACTGTGTCAGGTTTTTCCAGCTGGTCAATATTGTCTTAACCTAAAACTAAAATTTAACTAAACCATTTTTTTCATTTTACCAGGTAAGGCACACTGAGCTACATAGCTCTTTTTCAGAAGCAACCTGTTCACAAATGATAGCTCAACGAAGTGGCTTATCATGTGGAAATGTATAGCAGCCATATAATCTAAACGAATGTTTCTAAATGTGGAGGGAAAAACCGGAGGACCCGGAGAAAAATCCACGAGACCACAGGGAGAACATGCAAACTCCAAATATACAGGCGTCAGGGTCGGGATCGAACCCACAACCAGGTCGTTAACATCTCGCCACCTTCTTGTATATCTTACTCCAACCTGCCTTTGTCGTTAAGACGCTGTCCTTTAATTAAAGGGATTTACAGGCTTACGTAGGATTATTGGGTTGGCTCACAAACTCTGTCGAGCCGAGGTATGTGCAGCATTGTCAGCCTCGGGCAGCCGCCCACCTCATTCAACCACCCTGTCGATCGGCCACCATCGGAGAGCAACGTGTGCAAGCCAACACTCCAGGTGCCCGCTGTAAAGGCAGATTCAACTTGAGCCAGCGCTTCAAACTCCAGCGCTCTCAACCCTCAAATTACTTTATGATGCTGCTTTGGCAGTGGTACGCAAAGCACAATTACGTGCTATGAAGAAGGGCCATTGGCCAAAATGTCGCCGACTATTAATTTGTGTTTTACGACGGTGTTTTTGGCAAATCTCCAGCTCGCATACCAACTGACGGGTGCACGCAGCGTTTAACAGCTTATTTTGCACAATAATGTAAAAGGTCGGTCATCACGCTGCTGCACCGTTGACAAAAGCAATGGGGCTCTAATGATTAATAATAATAATAAATATAACTGTGCCCTTTATTTACTCCGTAAAGCCTTGCCGAGTCTCCAGCATTATGAGACGTTCGTCCATTTCCATAAATGAGTGGTTTGGCTTTTAGGTACTGGCCACACCCACCCGCTCGTGTGCCACAGTGCCGGCCATCATAGCTTCTCGCGAACAGCACTCGCCCCGACAGTCTGCTAAAGGCTAAACGGGGGCAGAGGGGGATCTTTCTCATTTGGCAGAGCATAGAGGAGCTGGAGAAGGAGATGCTGAACGGCCAGAAGCTGCAAGGCCCCCAGACAGCCGCAGAGGTTCACCGCATCCTCCAGAACCGCAACATGGTGTCCAAGTGAGTTGACACGCGACCCGTGCGGCACCCATAACCCAGAAGCGGGGCCTACCGTGCACGGCCTCATCAGCGGCCATGGTCAATCCACTGTGGGATGAAGGCCTCCCCAAGCCACTGCCATCCACCACAGTCTTGTGTTGTAATGATCCACATAGCACCTGCATGACAGCCGATTTTATTGCTCCCATCTCCATGGTAGATATTTTCTATGAACTTTTTTTTTACTTTACCAGGTAAGGCCCACTGAGCCATACGAGTTCTTTTTCTGAAGCGACCTGGCCACAAATAGCTCAACAAAGTGGTCTATCACGTGGAAATTTATAGCATCCAAATAATCTAAACGCACACTTGTAAATGTGGTGGGAAAAACCAGATGACCCGGAGAAAAATCCACATAACCACAGAGAGAACATACAAACTCCAAATATACAAGCGTCGGGGTCTGAATCGAACCCACAACCTGTATGCCAGGGAGATAATTAACATCTTAGTTAACATCTCGCCACCAGCTGTTGCCCCATGATTCTCGTCCACCGGTTATCACCCCTTCTAGTGATGCGTCTGGCCAAAGACCATTGACTTTTTTTTTAATAGTCAGGATGCTATCATTAACCTGTTTGTTCTGTTATCCATGAGTTCCTCTTTCTATCAATGTAATTACAGCCGTGCTTCGTTCCATGCCTATTTTTACGCACGCCTCCTGTTACATGCTCCTCCGCAATGTCCATGTTTCTGATCCACATCCTACATATGTCGCTTCACGAGATGTCGACGACTGTCAGTTGAATAGCCCAAATATTAAATTGTCTGCAACTGAACTGCAATGTTTCGCAACGAGAGTTGTTTGTGGTAATAGTAGATTTGTGGTACATTTAATATTCCATTAAACATGGTTTCTTCCTGCTGCTTGTATAATAGTCGGTGCGAAGAGATCGCCCAGATGCATTGCCGCTCACAAAGAAGACAATATAATTAAACTGCGTGGGCTCCTGCCTCGTTAAATATAAGATGTAAAACCGAACAATCCAGATGGAGGCCCAGGTTGCTGCACGAGCAAGTGAATGAGCGAGCCACCGATCACGTGTGTGTGAGAGATGGAGGGAGCGAGTGTGAGTGAGCTCGCGAGTGATTGAGCAAGCGAGTAAGTGAGCACCTAAGTGTGCGAGCGGACGAGCAAGCACGTGAGGGAGCATGTTTCTCACGCCTGCCTCCCTCTTCCCTCAGGTTTCCGCTCTTCACAGCCATCTATGAGATCTGCTACTCGGGCAAGCCTGTAAGCGGTCTCATGACCTGCCTACAGAGCCACCCGGAACACATCTAGGCTACTTTGCAGGCTCAGATGCCCCACACGCCCGTGATGTCAGTGACCAAGGAAATCCACACGTCGACCAAAGTTAAGGAAGCGCAACGACTCTTCGATTTTGTACGTTTGCTGTAATTTTCGATTTCTAAGATCCAATATTTTATATGCTGCACTGGTGCGCACAATTGACGTGTTTGGTTTGCAAGTCCAACTATGTTCTCTGAAATTATTTTCTTACGCCACTGTGTTGCTGACGAGTTTTACAGCCACAGGAACTAAATATTGCGAGGCTGTGAAATCGGCTCGTGTGTGTGTGTGTGTGTGTTGTTGTTGGCAGCTCTAGATAGTCTCCTCCACCTAGGCCATCAGGAGCGGCTCCCTCCGCTATCGTGAAGGTCGTCTGTTCCCCGTGGCTGTGTTTGACTGCTGTTCATTACGACTGTCCCCCATAATCATTCCATCAGCCCAGCTTTGGTGAGGTCATTTTAGAGGCACTTTCAAAACATTGGTCAATATGCGTCAGGGGAGATATTCGAAAACCAATTCCTAAAGATAATCTGCAATAAAGGCAGTGTGTTCCGGGTCATGACCAGTACATGCGTGTCCCCATGAAAGCTGCTGTGGCCATGTCAATACGGGACGGTGGGAGGAACGGTACATTTTTGTGGCGGGGGTGTTGGTTAAGAACCGCCCTTGCTGCTGAATGTTATGGTAAGTGTGAGTCTGACATTGACGTGTGTCTTCACTTTAAATTCAATCAGGACTGTTTACTTGAAATAAATATGACAACAACATTACACGTGCTCTTTCTTTCGATATTTTTTTTTCTCTCGATTTATTTTTTTGCTAAATATATTTTCGTACAAAAATGACAGTGCTTTTTAGTGCTTGCTTTACAGACGGCTTCTAACGTCGCGGGTCGGGATATTATCAACATTCTGCAGTACCATCACGGTATCTGATCGCTGTGCCAATGAAACAGGAGTATAAATGCCTACACCAACTTTACAAATACAGTACCGAATGCTCTACCTTATAGCAGATGAAGCTTCCTCTTCGTTTGCGTAAACAGGTCCTCACTCTTAAAGGTTTGTGGCACGTGGGCGTATACACAGTGGGCTGGCCGATGGTGAGAACAAAATATTTTTTATATATATAAAAAAACTATCAACAGTTTTTAAACTTCAGGACGCAGTCCAGGAAGACAACCACACACGGCTTCTAACAATTCATCCACCGAGAGCAATTATTAAGACGAAACATGCATCGATTCCTGTATCTAGGAATCCATCATTTAGCATTTATGCGAAGTGCACCTTTGAGGCTGATGAAAACAAACAAGACGGATCAAATGAGATGACGTATGAGACGAGCAAACGAACAAGACAAAAATCGATTTTTCATTCAAATCGTAACCCTGGAAAAAACGTAATAACCCAAAAACGTTCAAATTGTCGATGTAAGAGGCTTCTGCTGGGTGTAGGAGGATTAAGCGACGTATTACGTTCATTGTGTGTCCATGTGTGGTAGAGGACACGATAAACCCCAACTTTGATTGCCGATTGTTGGCAATGAAGCCACGACAGATGAGGGTTATCAAGTATTTTTTTTTCATGGACACCCCTCAATTCATCGCATTGCCGGGGATGGGCGATGAATCGTTACGTGCCTGGTAGCCCGCGAGCGATCCACTGGACGAGTTTACCAATCCATTGACGTGGAGTCACAAGGGGTGACGTGGGTCATCGACGCGCTTTGCGGGAGTGTGCGAGGAGCTGGGCGTGGCACGAGTGTCAGAATCCGCCCTCCCCACGCAGTGGCGGTCGCGAGTTCAGTGGGCGGGGGGGGGGGCTTCTTCACTGGCTCCCACGGTACGACACGTTGGGGAAGGTCGTCACCGCCCGCTTGAACAGTGGATTGTGTCCCTGTGGCGGCACCGACGAGAATGGAATCGTAGATTATTAACACTGCCGTGCGTGTGTCATCTCAAGCCCGCAGTCACTAGGTCGGCTCTGGGTTTGGAACTGGGTCTAAGGCCATGTGTGGTTATAGGTCAGGGTCTAGGTCTGAATCTTTTTAATGCTTTTTCACTGTATAACCGAGCCGCTAAGGCCGTGACGAGCCAGCCCGGTGTGGTTCAAGAGGCGCCAGGTTGTTTTTCCACTGCAGCGGTTGAGCTATACCCTTGCTGTCGCACGCAGTTATTGAGTTGCGACACCATGTTAATTTTCCATAATAGAGGTTTTTGAGTGAGATTGCGTAAATATATAAATGTGTCATTAAAACCCGACACAGCCAACTAGTAAGGGTTGTCACGTAAACAGAACGTGGCCAATTCGTCACTAGTACAGCAACACCGTTAAGACTTCTCCTGGCTGTCGGTTGTAACTACTGGCGAAACGTCGTACTCAGATTATACATTTTGTGGCCTGGCTCTCCAACACCGGTGTGCTGTACTTGTGGCGAATTGGCCACGTTCTGTTTATGTGACAGCCCTTACTCGTTAGCTGTGTCGGGTGGTGGCGGGTTTTAACGACATTTACGCGATCCAACCCAAAAACCTCTTATGGATGATATTGGTCGCGAAAGCCTACGTGTTAAACATGTTAATTTTCTCCGTAGTGGTACTGACTGACGTAACTGGCAACAAATGCGTAACTTGCCCCACCCCTGGCCCTGCTTGGCCCAGAGCAAGACTTGAATGTTATGTGAGGCCAGTGTATAACAGTCTGGTTCTGGCTCGGCATGACATAGCCAGTGGAAAAAAATACCAATACCGTAACGGACCCACGCTGGCTCAGTGCAAATGTGCCAGTGGAATATGTTGAATTTGTCTTGATCTAGATGGGTCTAGGTCTGTGTGTTGGCTCTCTGAGTGGGTGAGGACTCACCGCCCCCCACTTGGCACGCGCCCGCTCCGCCTGGAAGCGAGCGAACTCGTGGCGGTCGTGCAGAGTGACGAGCAGCTTCCAGCTGAGCAGCGCGACCACCCCCAGCAGCAGCACCCCGCCTGCCACCGCCAGCACCACGGACAACACCGCCGGACCCTCTGCGCACTCTGGTCGCACCACCGCGCGTGCACACGTACGCATGGGCGTTATCGCACCACCGCCACCACATCCCCGCTGCACTGTCATCGCCACGTTCGCCAACATCAACACGTCAATGCCACTCAAATTGCTGCACACCGTCATCGGCACATCACCGCCACGTCAACGTGTGCCGCATCACGCCGTCACCATCGCCACCATGAATGCATCATCATCATCATCACCGTGACCACACCACTGCCGTCACAATACTGTCACCAACATACCAAATAATGCCATAACCACAATCGGCAATAAAATATCACAAAATTCACATCACCACATCTCTGTCATCAACACGCCATCACCGCATCACCACCATCACAACACCACTGCCAGTACAACATGGCCAGAAGCGCACCATACAACCGCCATCACCAGACCATCACCAACTATCGTATATCCATCACAACACCACCATCGCCACAACCTCCACGCACAACGCGACACCCGTGCCAGCGCGAACACCGTCGCCCGACCCCCTTTGGGGCGGCACCCTCACCTGGCCGGGCGAGCACCCTGAGCACGGCGCGGCCGCTGGCGAGGTCCTCGCTGTGACTGAAGCGCACCGTGCACTCGTTCTCCAGCTTGAAGCTGCACAGCAGGGCCCTCTCCGCCGGGTCTGCATCATACGACACGCGCGCCGTCTCAACCCCTCTCGCCGAGCGCCCCATTCCCGATTGTGGGCAGTGCTCTCGGGCGGGCGGTGCGATGCATCTGTCGTGATCAGGGCTTCATTTTGAACTCGATATCTCGCGCAATGCTGCTGCTAGGCCGGATTGGAATAGACATCATCGACGTAAGGGACTACCAGTGGAGTACAAGGTATGATTTATCCATAATAATCCAGTATTATTGAGCCTATGTTCATATGATCCCATAATCATATTTAGGGTAAAATAAGGCTAGTTGGATGTGGCGTGCCAAAATAATTCCCACGACAGCATTCAGTACCGTAGAGGATATTCCAAACCCTAAGGGCACCAGCAGAGAAAGGGTGTGGGTATGTATACAAGTTGAACTTCTTTCGCACCGTACGTTCCCAACCGTGCTCATCGGAAAATTTGACCAAGGGTTTTGACAGAAGGGATTTTTAGTTGTTGCTGCGAGATTAGAGTGGAGAGGTAGACAGAGGCCAATGTGTGTGTGTGTCTGTGTGGTGTGTGTGTATGTACGTGGTGTGTGTGTAGTGTGTGTGTAGTGTGTGTGTAGTGTGTGTATGTACGTGGTGTGTGCGGTGTGTGTGCAATGTGTGTGGTGTGTAGTGTAGTGTGTGTGGTGTGTAGTGTGTGTGGTGTGTGTGTAGTGTGTGTGTATGTACGTGGTGTGTGTGGCATGTGTGTGGTATGTGTGCGGTATGTATGTCGTGTGTCCAGTGTGTGTGGTGTGTATGTACTTGGTGTGTGTGGTATGTGTGCGGTGTATGTGCAATGTGTGTGGCAGTGCAGGTTCAGCCAATGAAGCCACAGGACCAAAGATGCCCTTAAATTAATACAATGAGGAGAGGGATCGTTCGTTCTTGTAGACGGTGAGTTGATCCGGGGCGGGCTTTTGGAGTCTGTGGAGGGATTCGAGTTTTGGGGTGATGTCATATTCATGGGCTCGGGCGAGGAGTCTGGCGGCTGCATAGTCAACCGTTTGAGACTCTGAGAAGAGATTTAGCAAAGCCCCAGGTGAGAGAGTTGCAGTCGGCGAGGTGAGACCGATGAAGGCATGGGTGGGGGAGGAGCAGCAGTACCCAGAGCTTGCACCGTCACCATCTCGTCCGGACACCTCCGGCTGCAGTTTCCCTCCCAGCCCGACACTCCAGCCGAGGCCAGGTAGCACTCCACACACTCCCTGACAGAGGACCGGGTGGGTGGGTTGGTGGGTTATGGGAGATGAGGCGTGGGTGGGTGGGTAGGAGGGGGATGTCAGTTTGCCCAGCTGTCGAACCACGTGAGGGTTCACCTCCCTCCTTAGTCCGAATGCTCCCAGCGCTGCGAGTGAAAGGACGCCAGTGTCATCAACGCCTTTGGCACCATAACCACACGAGCTAGCGAGACGCCAGCCCTAACCACGACTCTAATCACGCTCGCCCGACCGCTAACTATAACCACGTTACCCAACGTCATTCGTCCCGACCTCTAAGCCGAATCTTAAGATAATTAACCAAAAGCTTTCGTCACTGCAGGAATTCATCACTCGTTGGGTCTTTCGGTAAAGTCACGTATAGATAGAAAAATATTTTAAAATATCTACGTTACTTTACCGAAAGACCCAAAGAATATAATTAACCAACTAGTAATAGCAGACCCTTATGACCAGCCATGCCTTTAATCAAATCCCCATCGCTAAGCCTACGGGTAGCAGTTACCCCGATCCGTCCCCCCTCCCTTCACGTGTGATCGCTCTCCTTCAAGCCGGGCCATCAACGTCGTTCCCAACGCTGCGACGTCATCCCAGCTGAGGGCGAGCGACCCATCTCCACGTTTTAGTTAAAGGGCTTCTTTGGTCCCGTGGCTTCATTGGCTGAACCCGCACTGCCACACACACTGCACACACACCACACACAGACACCACGTACATACACACCACACATACTACACGCACACATTGGACACAGTACACACCACAAACCACAAATTCTACACATACACATTACACACACCACAAACCCTACACACACAGTACACACACCACACACTACACACACCCTAAACACACATCACACACACACCACGTACATACACACATACACACCACACACATACAACACAAACTGGACACAGTACACACAGTGCACACACTAGAGACAGTACGCACAGTACACACACACACTACACACACACAGGACACACCACACACAGTGCACACACACTGGACACACTACACACAGTACACACACCACACACACTACACACAGTACACACCACAGCACACACAACAACGCGCGCGTGTGCGCTCGTACCCTGCGTCCATCAAGGGGCGCTCAATGGCAGTGGAGACAGACGCTCGTCCTGTTGGCGAGTGGCGGTGGCAGCCGCCACTCGCTGATTAAAGAGCGGGCGAGCGGTGGCGGCCGCTGTCAAAGGAAAATTACAGAGAGGACGGGGCCCTTGTCCCTCCAAAGCGTACACTTATTTACACAAACACACACGCAGCACACACGCAGGCAAAGACTGCGTCTGCCCATCGCAGCAGCCACCACGGGACAACCATCGCCACCGCAGACGCCGTCTGGCGAGCGGTTCCCGGCAACACTCAGCCTGAGCCCCCAGCACGGAGGGAGGCGATCAGGACCCCGGGTCCTCATCCCAGGCTTTCTGACCTCACCCAGCGCTCGTCTCGGAGAACAGAGAGGGGGAGGTGGGGGGGGGCGCTCTGAAGCCGTGGGGGGACATTTAATGGGAACCAGCTGTGGGCTCCCCATCGTGTACCCCCCGCCACCCCAAACCTGCTGCGTCTGCAGCCACACGGGGAGGGCAGCAATCACGGTGCGAGACCCCCAGGCTGCGTGTCTCCGCCCTGCTGCGTGTAACCCCTAGCGGGTGTCGGCAGCCAATCCCGCAACGCTCACAACAACGAGCGGAGCGCCGGGCGGATATAAACGCAGCGAGTTGGCACAGCGGGGAGCCGCAGGTGTCAAGTCATCCCAGTTAGTCAACCCATAACACCTGGGTCTGTCAGCCCAGCCTTCGACACTCTGCGCGTCCTCAGTGCACCTAGCCTGGCACAACCCCGGTGATGTGGTGGCTTTGCATTACCTCCAAATACAAAGATTCCCCGTGTAGCCTTAACAGACTGTTGGGGCAAGTGCTCTTAGCGAACACCTATGAAGGCTGGCAAGGCACACGAGGGGGTGGGTGGTCAGCACCACGCTCGACCGCCTTTGTCTCGCAAATCCTGCTGTTTACGCAATGCACCGGGTGCTCATTTGAGGCTGAGTCGACCCAGGGGGGAGGCCCAGGACCGGTTCAGACAATCGTCACCGGTGGTGGCCGTGAGCGTTCATCGAAACCGGGTCGCAAGTGCGCTAACCACTACACTACCGCTCCACACAATATCTTACCTCCAACCCCTCCACACCATTACCGCCCCACCCCCCCACGTCTCCACCGCTCGCCTTCACACCACTCACTTCTTGCGGGCGCAGGCGTCGGCACAGGTGGGGCAGCGTTGGCACACGGAGCCCGACGCGCCGGGCTCCGTGCACACGCAGCGGCCGCACTCGCAGCGCCCCCGGCCGCTGCACTCGAGCCCCTCGGCCGAGACGCACGCGTCCGTCACCAGGGAGCAGTTGCAGCTTTCGCCGGCCCAGTCCGCGTCGCACGCGCACTCGCCGCACACGCACGGCCCGTGGCCTGGACACGCACACGGCGCGCGCAGGTCCACGGCGTGACGCACGCGGGTTCAGAGACAGAGACCGCCGCCTCCAACCCAGCCACCCCCTCCCGCCGCCACCCCGTATGACCTTAAGACCTATGAAGCCAGTGCCGGATGAAGCTAGTGCGGGGCCTGTAGCGTATGTTATAAAATGGCCCTAATTTTTTTTAAAAAAAACAGATAAATATTAAAAACACTTTTTTTACTTGCATAGTAAAGTAATTGTATTTTTTTCATTTGCTATACAGCGAGATGATACGACAAATCGCTAAGCTTCAACACCCAGTCGTTCATAAAAGTTGAAGGCAGTATAGTACTATAGTAATAGAGCAAGTGCAGAATCACTGCACCGGAATTGATAGCTTGAAAACTTTTAGCGCGTGGCCTTTGAAAGTGCGGGGCCCATAGCTGCTACACGTGTAGCAGCTGGGTTGACTACACGTGTAGTAGCTGCTACATATGTAGCTACTACATGTGTAGTAGCTACTTGTGCTACTAGGATAATCCGGCACTGAATTAAGCGCCGACAAGGCGCACGAGGCAGTGGGTGGTCAGCACCACGCCGGGCCGCCTTTGACTCCCAAGCGGCGATGTTGGCACATCACACCCAGTACTCATTTGAGGCTGCGTCGACCTAGGGGAGGCCCAGCACTGTTAGCGAGCACCTGTGGGAGTCGATACGGCGGTACAAGGGAGTGATGCTGGTACGGCCGGTACTATGCCCGGCCGTGTTTGTCTTTCCAGTGCCGTGAATGAAACCCAGGTTCGCGGCAAACCGCATGCACACTCAAGTACGGTTGTACATCCACATACGTATGCAACATCTATACATGTACACACATTTCCATAGGGGACACCGACGCGTTCACATACACGCATATTGTAACGACACTTGAACATGCAAACTCTGCCGCTCGGGACAAGGAGGTTGCCTGTGGCAGGCTCGGCGCACTTTTCGTGGAGTGTCCAAGGCTCGCTGGCCAGGAGATCATGGGACGGACCCAGCGGAGGTGAGGAGGTTAACCGGCAGATCCACCACTTGCACGGCCCACACGGCCAACTGGGGGTGATTTCGGCTGCCGCGTAGAGCTACTCGCGCCTGTGCGGCGAAGTGTCTGCGATGCGTTTGCAGCGAAACGTCGGCCAACGTGCGGCACACACAGCCCACAAACCACATCGGGGCTGTGTGTTTTAGTTCAGTTCTGGCTGACGGATTAAAGACAAAAAAAAACCCTCAACGCATCTTCAATCGCAAGAGTGGAGGCTGCAGTGGTTCACTGCATAATGAAAAGCACTGCGAGTGGGCTTATTGTTAAGATAAATGTTCACGTGTGGCTCTCAATGATTCACTCAGCAGCAGCTTCAGCAGCTGCGGGTGGCGTGAATCCCATGACACTTCTCTCTTCCCCCGTATCGCGCTCACAACATCAACAACAACAACGGCGAGCGCAGCGACGCAGGGGCCGCCTTCTCAAATCAGCTCGGGCAGGGGAGGGCTGGTGCTCGAATGCCGTAGCGGAGCGCTTTGTCAATGTCGTGTGGGAACACGGGCAGGGGACGGGTTAAGGGAGCCGGGAGACGGGAAGGGTGATGACGAGGAGGAGGGGGGGTGGAGAGGAGGGAGGGAAGGAGAGGGAGAAGAGGAGAGGGAAAAGACGGGAGGGAGAGGAGGGAGAGGAAGGGGGCGGGTGAAGGGAGCTGGAAAAATAGGGGAGAGGAGGAGGAGGGGTGAGACCGGGAGCCTAGAGAAGGGGAGAGAGATAAGAAAGGAGAGAGCGAGTGTGGGAGGGAGGGAGGTGGGAGAAACGTGGGGCGGTTTGGAGGGAGGAGCGGTAGAGGGAAGAGAGAGAGAGAGGGTGCAGAACAAGAGGGAGAGTGAGCAAGTGGAGAGGGGAGTGATGGTCGAGAGCAGGAGGGGGGTAGAGGAGGGAAATAGTAAGGGTAAGAAGGGGGGGGGAGTGGGGAGAGAGGCAGGATAAAGCGAGAAGCTGGGAGAATCAAAAGCAGCAGAGAAAATATTAACGAGGAAGGGGAGAGCAGAGTGTGGGGGGGGGGGGGGGGTATGGGGATCGGGCTGGTGGGGGTGGAGGGAGTCGACCCTGGGAATTCTCACAGCTCTCGGATTTCTCCCGAGTTTCGCTCATACATTCTTCCACTCTCCCCTGGGCTGTCAGTGGCATCGCGATTCCTCGCTCGGCCCCGCCGCGTGTCACCGCATCATCGTGATGATGACCTGTTGTGATGATGATGACGATGGTGGTGGTGGCGGTAGCGATGATTATAACCATGATAGCGATGACGATGTCCACGATGTCGCAGTGCGGCAGCTGCAGCGTGCTGCTACTACTACTGATGGCGCTGCTGATGATGCTGTGACTGCTGCTGCTAATGATTCAGTTGCTACGGGTGATGGTACTGATGATGATGCTGTTGTCTTGATTACTGCTGCTCCCACTGCCTATCCGGTTGCTCCAGCTGACGACGATTCCGATTACCCTCGACGGTGATCGCTGTGGCAACAGTCACGGCCACGACTCACGAGGAACATTCACAGGAGTTTCCAACCCTAATCTGTAGACAAACGGTCACACGGTGGCGGAACGGGACCGGTGAAATTCCACGTGACCCCCTCGTCCCTCCACGTCATCCACATGCCCTCAAACACCACGTGTTGTATAGCTGCTGCTGCTGTTTCTTAAGGTGTTGGAGGCCAGATGTTCCAATTGGACGACCGGCTATATCAGCGCCACCAGAAGCCGTGGTCCAGCCACTGGATGTTTAACGTATTCCACACATGAAAAAAATTTGTCTGGGGAGTCTCATCACATCGTGTGTACTGTGGACCATTTGGATGCCAAGCTCTTCGAACATGGTGGATAACATTTGGAAGCTCCGGTCCCTCACACAACACAACCGGTTCTCGGTTCTGCAGTTCAATAATTGCATCGAGGACAGTATTGTGTGTGGTTCAAAGCGGGATTCATCGATCAGAGGCCCACCTCACATCTCACACCACTTAAATTTTGGGTTTTTTATACTGTAGCTCTTTTTTAGAAGAAACTTGCCCTTAAATTATAGCTCAACGAAGTGGCTTATGTGGAAATTAAACAAATCGCGAAACCACGGGGCGAACATGCAAACTCCAACTATACAGATGTCAGGGTCGGGATCGAACCCACGACCTCCTACCAGGCGAGGTAGTTAACACATCGCCACCGTGGTGCCCCGAAATGTATATCTTATTGTTCACACAGAACTGTCAGGGAGTTGTGATGCCCAGTGTGGCCGTGACGAGGCCACATTCATCAGATGTGTGGCCCATCGCGAACTGGGTCTGCGTCTGTCTCACTTTGACATTGATCGCCACTGTTGCGTTACCTCGTAGTTGTGGCGTTTGAATAACTTAGCCAATTGGTGTGTGTGTGTGGGGAGGGGGGGGCATTCGTGATCCACGTGAAACTTATTTAACCAGCCGGGTTCTATCCCCCGCGTAACTCTCAATGCGCGGATTTTTTTTAGTTTGTTTGAAATCGGTGAGCGGGCGTCGCGCTCCGCCAACGTTCCTTGGCGAGGCGCATGCCCGCGCACTCACCCGAGCACAGCAGCCCCTTGTGCCGGATGCAGGAGAAGTCGTCGCACTCGCACCAACTCCCGTGCACCCTGCCCAGCTCGCTCGGCCGGCACACGCACTGCCCGCACACGCAGTCACCGCGCCCGCTGCACGGCGTCGCGCCGGGCTCCCTGCGGCACCCGGCCGCCCTGCCGGCACGGCCCGCGGACTCGGGCTGCTCCGGCGGGGACACGAAGGTGTCTCCTCGTCCCTCGGGGTCCGTAGCGTCGTCCTCCTGAGCGCCGAGGGTCGGTCCGATCCGGGGGCGAACGGGCGCGCAAGCGGATTCACGGACGGAGGCGCGGCGCGGGTTGTGCGGGTGCGTGCATGGCTCAGGCTCGGAGCGCGTATACTGAGCATTGCAAAAAAGTACGCGCACGTTTACGGCCCTTAGTCCACTGCTGGATGAGGGCGTTCCGACGCAATTGAGGTCGGTACAGGTTGGGGAAGGTGGGGAGAGCGCCCATGTGAGTGCATGCATCTTGTTGTACTGCCCCCTCTGCTGTGTCTCTCTCTCTCTCTCCACCTGCCGCTCCCCCCCATGCTGCTCCATATCTCATTCTCTCCCTCCTTGCTCTTTCCTATTCCTCTCCCCCACCCCACTGTTTTCCTCCCTTCCGCACCCTCCCGATCTATCCTGCTCTCTTCATGCCTGCCTCGCTATCTCCACCCCTCCCCATCTCTCTCTTACTCCTTCTTGCTTACCCATTTCTACCCCTCCCAACACCCCTGCCTCCATTTCCCTCCGTCCTTCTCTCCGTCCTCCCCCCGCTCCCTCGCCTCTCTCTCTTTTTGTTGCTTCGTTCATCATTTAGTTTTTTATGCTTTGCTTTATGTAACCCCCCCCCCTTCTTCAATGAAAGATTTCATTAAAGATTTCACGCTCTGCTCTCCTTACCCCTTCCCTCTCTACCCCCCCCCCCCCCTCTCTCTACCCCCTATCTCCCTACTCCATGTCTATGTTCCCCCTATGTTTTCTATGTAATACTATTATAATTTTTTTTTTAATATACATATTTTTCTCACGACAAGTGCTGCATCTGCACCCAGCCCTTCTCGCAGTCCAACGGCCTCCGACGGGTCGCTCAGATCTATCTCTCCTCCTTCCTCAACTTCATCTCTCCCCCACCCCGCAAACATCCCCTCCCCGTTCACCACTCACCTCCTCGTCCGCGTCGCTGCACTCGCAGCGTGGCCCGAGCCTGCCCGGCGAGCAGCTGCACACTCCGCACTCGAGGCTCCCGTTGCCCGAGCACGCGGCGCTGCGCGGCTCTGCGTGGTGCGTGCACGCGCACGCGCACAGCTCCCCGGCGCCGCGCACGTGCACGCGCAGCGCGCCCTCGAAGCCCACGGGCTTCACGGTGAAGGTTCGATGCCCGCGCACGCAGCCGCGCGCCTCTACGCGCACCTCGAAGCTCACCTGCGTGGGGGGGGGGGGGGGTGGGGGCAAAGATAAAGATGCCCCGTATAGCCTTTTCGCAGACTTTGTTGGGGCAAGTGCTGTTTAGCGAGCGGGCTTTGTGCAAGAGAGGGGTTAAGGTGGTCAGCACCATGCCCGACCGCCTTTGTCTCCCCAGTGCTTATATTTACACACCGCAACCAGGTTCCCATTACATGCTGAGTAGACTTATGGGAGCCCCAGGACCGGTTAAAATATTCGCCACTGTGATTGGTCATGTGCAGAAATTTAACTAGGGTCGCAAAGTTCATAGCGCAGTGCGCTAACCACTACATTACCGCTCACATGCCATTCACATAGATCATCAAACTTATACCCAGATAACACGTAGATACGCAACATCACTGGGGATCATGCACATACGGGTCACAGATATCACACATTCATCTGGTAACATATACCGAATTACGCAATCGCACAGCTAACGGGCATGGAAGGAGTAAAGATCACTCTCACACAGCGTCACACACATACATCACGCTCACACAAATGACCCTGCACTCATGGATGACAGACGCTCTAGCACATCTCACACGCACGCAAAGTTCACTCACACAGATCACACACACACAGATCACACACACAGGTCACAAACACACACACAGATCACAAAAACACAGATCACACAGAGATCACACACACAGATCACACACAGATCACACACACACAGATCACACACATAGAGATTACACATACACACAGATCACACACAGATCACACGAATAGAGATCACACATACACACAGATCACACAGAGATCACACACACAGGCAGATTACACACGCAGAGATCACACGCATAAATCACACACAGATCAAACAGATCATCCAGGAATCACTGGGCACGGCTAAATCCCCACACTACGCCTTACACCACCAAACCCTACACCATCGCCTCTCCATCGCACAACCAAAATCCATCCACGCAGCGACCCCACCAGGACCCAACGCGGACCCGAGGGCCGAGCAGGTGATATCCCCCTCGCCGCTGCACCCCCCCACCCCCATCGCCTCCCCACCCCCACCTCCTCTCCCCCACCCCCCGTACCGTGTCCCCCACGCGGAGGTCCGCGCAGCGCCTCTGCCCTGGAAGCACGGTCCCATTCTGGCACGTGGCCGTGAAGGAGACGCTGACGTCCTCGGGCTGATCCCAAACCTCCAGCTCCACCACCGAGCGGATGCTCTGAGAGCCCCGGCCGCGCGCGGGGATTCACGGGACCGGGATCAGCGTGGGGGGGGGGGGGTCACGGGACGGGGGTCCATGTAGGGATGACGGGATGGAGCAGGGTAGGATGGGGTGGACGAACGGCCTTTGTTAGCAATACAGGTTTAATACACAGCAGACTTAATCCATCACGAAGGGAATAGGTTCTCGAGAGCAATTAATAATACGCCCAGAAGGCCAAAATATGAACGGCAGAACATCAACACAGCAAACGGCTACGAGTGGCTCAAATCCCAAGGTAGAGTCACCAGGTGAAGGGCCACCGACACAATCGCCCTCCCTCGCCTGGCCCACGCTGAAACACTGAGCTCTAATCTTGTAGCTACACTGTGGTCCACGCGAGTGAATCTCTGACACTCAGGGGCATGGGCCCTGGCACAATTCATCAAAAGTGGAGAGAGGTGGAGGGGGGGAGCTTTCCAAATGCATCCGCCTCGTAGGTCCATTGCGCAGTTGCACCGCCTGCGTACTCAGCCGCCACGCCACTGGTGACAATGCCCAGACTCGGGTGCCGAGACACGAGGGGTGTGAACGCATGGCGCAAGTGGCTCACGCGCGGCTACACGGGATCGGTCGCGTGACTGCACGGGCAGATTGTTTATAGTAGCCTTTGTGGCAAAGGCCCTGATGTGTATTGTTTATCTGATGGTGAGGTTGCCAGTAGAAGTAGCGGGGTAGGGTCGGCAGGAGGGGTGGGTGGCTTGGGAATGGAAGCAAGTCTCACGGTGAAATGTCTCCGTTCCGTTGGCGTCGAGGAGTTGTGAGGGAGGGACATTCCTCTGATTCCTGCCGGTCCCGCTGGCCCGCAGCCAATAGCGTCACCGCTTGCGAGAGCGTGTGAGTGTGTGTGAGAGTGTGTGTATGTGCGAGAGAGTGTGTGTGAGACTGTGAGTGTGTGTGGGGAGCGGTAGTGTAGCGGTTAGCGCGCTGCGCTATGAACCCGGCGACCCGAGTTCGATTCCCGCTCATGGCCAACACGAGTGAAGATTATCTGAACCGGTCCCGGGCCTCCCCTAGGTCGACTCAGCCTCAAATGAGTACCTGGTACGTTGTGTAAACATTGCCACTAGGGAGACAAAGGCGGTCGGGCGTGGTGCTGGCCACCCACCCCCTCGTGTACCGTTCCGGCCTTCATAGGTGCTCGCTAACAGCACTTGCCCCGACAGTCTGTTAAGGCTATATGGGGGATCTTTTTTGTGTGTGTGTGTGAGAGTGTGTGTGTGGGGAGCCGTGGTGTAGCGGTTATCACGCTGTACTACGAACCTGGCGACCCGAGTTCGATTCCCGCTCACGGCCAACATCAGTGACGATTATCTGCATCGGTCCTGGGCCTCCCCTAGATCGACTCTGCCTCAAATGAGTAAACATCGCCACTGGGGAAACAAAGGCGGCCGGGCGTGATGCTGGCCACCCACCCCCTCGTGTGCCATGCTGGCCTTCATAGGTGCTCGCTAACAGCACTTGCCCCAACAGTCTGTTGAAGGTCATTCGGGGGATCTGTGTCTTTGTGTGTGCGTGAGTGGAGTGTGCGTTCAATCGGCGTGGTCTGGGAATAACAACCCCAACCCCCTTTCTCCCCGTGTCACAGTGCACTGTGTCGTGAGCAACGTCACTGCCATCCCCACAACCATCGCAGTTGCAGGCGGGGAAGAGGGGGGATAGGGGGGAGGGGCCGTGGGGGGGGGGGCTGTGAACAGGCAGAACGGGCTGCTAAACCCCGCCACCTAAATCTCACTGGCCACAGGCCCACGGAAAGGGAATCAAAATAAGCATTGCCGGAGGCCTCCCAGGGGACACGCGTCTAAGACGTCCCCCGGCCAAATACGTTTTGGCAGAGCCAAGGCAAAGCAACTCAACCACCTTTGGGAGTCCTCCAGAAACACCGCGCAATTACTCGGGCTGACCACGTGGAACGTCTAAAGCGTCGGTTAACTGGGTTGTTGTTTATGTAACTGTTGCTGTGCATGTACGTGCGAATGTGTGTACGTGCGTGTGTGAATCGGTGCGTGCACGTGCATAAGATGGAGCGGCGGTGCAGCGATCAGCGCACTGCGCTACGAACGCGTCGACCCGAGTTCGATTCGCGGTCACGGCTAACATCAGTGGTGAGCTACATGTGAGCTGGTCCTGGTACCTATTCTCCCCCGCACCCCCCCCCACCCCCATTCCCTTCACCAACAAGTACTGATCAGAGCGGTGAACAAATCCCACCCAGTAGTGGATTAAGAAAAGAGAGGCACGCACGTTATAGGCAGACACGATGAGCTGGATGATGTTACTCGAGTCGTTGGCCAGAATCCCAGCCGTGGTGCCGGGCAGCAGGTGCGCGTAGCTCTGTAAGCCAAAGGTCAAGGTCAATGGAAGAGACGAAGGTCAGACGACGAGCGATCAATGCTGGACATCGCGATGGGCCAACGCTATGAGCACGAGAGGTGCCGCAGCAGACACGCTCCAGGGTCGGGTAGCATTAGTGGACGACAGCTGGAGAAATATACAAGCTGACATTCAAATAGACAGACGGACAAATTGGGCAAGAGACAGAAAAGTAGACAAATTGCCAAAAGTGATGCAGAAATTGGGTACAGACAGGTGGATAAGTAGAGACATTGACAATAGACACATCGGCAGATGCAGACACAAAGGGAAATAGGTACAGGCAGACAAAAAACAACCGTAGACAAATTTTGATTTAAAGCTTTCGTGACTGCAGGGATTAATATTCTTGGTTCCTTCGGTAAAGTCTACGTGACTTTACCGAAAGAACCAAGAACATAGACAAATTGGCAAACAATAGTGGACAAATGTGCGGTATATAAAGCAAGATACCGAGCATTTAGACGGATGCACCAACAGATGCGTACATATACAGTGAGGGAAAAAAGTATTTGATCTCCTGCTGATTTTGTACGTTTGCCCACTGACAAAGAAATGATCAGTCTATAATTTTAATGGTAGGTTTATTTGAACAGTGAGAGACAGAATAACAACAACAAAATGCTGAAAAACGCATGTCAAAAATGTTATACGTTGATTTGCATTTTAATGAGGGAAATAAGTATTTGACCCCTCTGCAAAACACGACTTTGCACTTGGTGGCAAAACCCTTGTTGGCAATCACAGAGGTCAGACGTTTCTTGTAGTTGGCCACCAGGTTTGCACACATCTCAGGAGGGATTTTGTCCCACTTCTCTTTGCAGATCTTCTTCAAGTCATTAAGGTTTCGAGGCTGACGTTTGGCAACTCGAACCTTCAGCTCTCTCCACAGATTTTCTATGGGATTGAGGTCTGGAGACTGGCTAGGCCACTCCAGGACCTTAATGTGCTTCTTCTTGAGCCACTCCTTTGCTGTCTTGGCCGTGTATTTTGGGTCATTGTCATGCAGGAATACCCATCCACGACCCATTTTCAATGCCCTGGCTGAGGGAAGGATGTTCTCACCCAAGATTTGACGGTACATGGCCCCGTCCATAGTTCCTTTGATGCGGTGAAGTTGTCCTGTCCCCTAAGCAGAAAAACACCTCCAAAGCATAATGTTTCCACCTCCATGTTTGACGGTGGGGATGGTGTTCTTGGGGTCATAGGCAGCATTCCTTGACGGTGGGGATGGTGTTATTGGGGTCATAGGCAGCATTCCTCCTCCTCCTCCTCCAAACACGGCGAGTTGAGTTGATGCCAAAGAGCTCCATTGTGGTCTCATCTGACCACAACACTTTCACCCAGTTGTCCTCTGAATCATTCGGATGTTCATTGGCAAGCTTCAGACGGGCATGTATATGTGCTTTCTTGAGCAGGGGGACATTGCGGGCGCTGCAGGATTTCAGTCCTTCACGGCGTAGTGTTACCAATTGTTTTCTTGGTGACTATGGTCCCAGCTGCCTTGAGATCATTGACAAGATCCTCCCGTGTAGTTCTGAGCTGATTCCTCACCGTTCTCATGATCATTGCAACTCTACGAGGTGAGATCTTGCATGGAGCCCCAGGCCGAGGGAGATTGACCGTTCTTTTGTGTTTCTTCCATTTGCGAATAATCGCACCAACTGTTGTCACCTTCTCACCAAGCTGCTTGGCAATGGTCTTGTAGCCCATTCCAGCCTTGTGTAGGTCTACAATCTTGTCCCTGACATCCTTGGAGAGCTCTTTAGTCTTGGCCATGGTGGAGAGTTTGGAATCTGATTGATCGATTGCTTCTGTGGACAGGTGCCGTTTATACAGGTAACAAGCTGAGATTAGGAGCACTCCCTTTAAAAGTGTGCTCCTAATCTCAGCTCGTTACCTGTATAAAAGACACCTGGGAGCCAGAAATCTTTCTGATTGAGAGGGGGTCAAATACTTATTTCCCTCATTAAAATGCAAATCAATTTATAACATTTTCGACATGCGTTTTTCCGGATTTTTGTTGTTATTTTGTCTCTCACTGTTCAAATAAACCTACCATTAAAATTATAGACTGATCATTTCTTTGTCAGTGGGCAAACGTACAAAATCAGCAGGGGATCAAATACTTTTTTCCCTCACTGTACGTACCATTGCCGCAGCCATGGAGTCAACATTGGGGGGGGGGACCAAATCTTCCTGGGTGTCTGGGGGTCCAAACCCGATAAAATATCTAAATTTTATAACTAATTTCCTGCCTAAAATATAAAAACACATGGGATGGACTTATTATTTATTTTTTACAATAATGTCTAATAGTGTATTGTATTACATTGCCCTGTTTTTACTTTTTTACCATTTCTTGTTTCATTGCATGTAATGGCAGAGATTAGGGATTAATAAACTACTACCATAACCACAAGCAACAAGTCCAGATATTGTGGCCAAGGGTTAGCAAATTGTTGTTTTTATTTACATAGCATAGCAATTATTTTTTTCAACATATTGGGGGGGACATTTTGAGCATATTTGAATATTGGGGGGGATGTGTCTCCCCCAATATATATTATAATTACGGCCTTGACACGTACACAGACGGACAAATGCACAGACAGACGAACATATAGAGGCATATGTAAAGACAATGGACACAGAGGCAGCCAATGGACAGACCAGGCTGATAGATGGACGGGCGCACCCTGTACAAGGCGTAGTGCTGTCTGGTGACCGCAAAGATGAGGTTCACATTGTTCTCAGACAGTTTCTCCCCAAGCAGGGCGAGGGACGGGTAGTCCTGGAGAGAGAGACAAAGACGGCCTTTTAATTACAGTACTCAACCGGGATGAAGCGTCGCAACATCGCCCCCTTCACTGCGGGAAACTTGGCGGGACCTTCCTGAAAAGAAGAGTACTCGGGACTCGGCGAGGCTGGGGATGATGATGATGATGATGCAACATACGATTCGCTCACGGGTATCTGGGGCGCCGCGGTGGCGAGATGTTGACTACCTCGCCTGGTATGCAGGATGTCGCGGGTTCGATCCCGACTCTGATGCCTGCTGTATATTTGGAGTTCGCGTGTCTCTCTCTCCGTGTGTCGCGTGGATTTTTATGCGGATCCTCCGGCTTTTCCCTCTGCATTTGGAACCAACGTGCGTTTGGAGTATTTGCCTGCTATACATGTCCACGTGATAAATCCATCTTCGTTGCGCTATCGTTTGTGGCCAGGACGCTTCTGAAAAAGAGCTATACAGCTCAGTGGGCCTTACCTGGTAAAATATAAAACAAGTAAACAGTTAAATAAAATAGTAATCTGGTGGATTGCCGTGAGCTGTTGGGGAGAATAAGGAGTCACAGAGAGAGAGAAAGGGGGAGATTGGTTCCCGTGGATGATTGGACTTTCCGAGACGCGTTCCCTGCGGTGTCCGCCCAGTGAGCGCTGCCAATGGACGCGAGGTTTCCCCTGCGTTGAGGCTCAACGGGGAGGAGGGCTCCTGGCATCGACGCCGACGATGAGGGCGTCACGCATGTGGCGGATGCTGCTGTGTTGGCGGTGGTGCACAAGGAACGATCGAACGAGAAGCAAACTCGACACGGCCGTCAATGACACTGTGTGTCTGTGTGTAAATATGACAGGCGACGTTTCGGGCAACGGGCCCTATTTTTACGGCGTAAAAAAATGGGGTAACAAAATATGTCCGTGCGGTAGCCATTCGTAAACGTCACAGGACTGATGATAATGATGCCATAATTATAATAATACCAAAGATGGCACAGGCGATAATGGCAACTGTGATGATGACGCTGACAATCGTAACCATGGTCACGGTGATGATGGCCATGGCGGCAGCGCTGATGATCTACAACGACCGCGACGCCGCCCGCGTGCGCGCGAGCGCTCACCATGGCGCTGCTGCGCGCGTAGCTGTTGTTGGGGTCCAGGTGGCATCGGCCGTCATGAGGAGCGGCAAGTCCTGCGAGGCGCCCGTCCAGCGCCAGGTGCGAGCCCGCGTCCGTGGCGAACACCACGAGGTGCGTGGCGCCGCCTCTCCAACCGATCTGCTCCTGCGTGGGGGAGGAGGCGGATCGCCCGGTGAGGAGCAGCAGGAGCAGCACCACGCCGCCTCTCACCCCGAACTCGCCCCGACGACGCCTCGCGAGGCTCAGCGTGTACCGCGCACGGGCTCTGTGTCCTGCGCTGGGGCTTTGAAGCAGGAGGTTCAGAGGGGGTGTTTAACACGTGGTCAACGTGGTGGTGGTGATGGTGGTGGTTACTGGTTGTGTGCTCGCTAACAGCTCTTGCCCCAACAGTTCTGTTAAGGCTATACGGGGGATCTTTGTCTTTGGTTGATGAAGAACATGGTGGCGCGGTGTTGGTAATAGTTCTGATGATGATGAAGGTGGTGGTGGTGGTGATTCCATTGTTGGTCATGACCGTCATGATGATGATGGGTGTAATGTTGGTGGTGTTAATGGTGATAACGACGATGATGGTTATGGTGGTGGTGATTTTGCTGGTAATGGTTAACTCTTGCTATAATTACCGTGACGACGGCCCACACCCGCCACGCACATCGCGTCACCCCCCTCCCCCCGTCACAACGCCTCTCTCACCGCCACGCGATCACGAATTCATTCCTTCCACCGCGCCTCTGACCAGCAAGGCGCGTCTACGTACGGCGCGAAAGAAGTGCGACGTGCATACACACGCAAACTCACTCGTTAGTTAACCCCTCGCCCACCACCCACCCGTTCCGTCCATTCGTCAGGCACCCTACTCCCCGCCACCGCCTGCGTACCCCGCACACGGACGCCTGCAGGATGGCGTCGAAGCCGCCCTCGGGGGCGTCGTTGTTGCGCGACACGTTCTGCCTCTGCACCTCGGCGATGAAGCTGGCGGCGCGCTCGGTGAGAGCCAGCACGTGGCGGAAGCCGAAGGGAGTCCCGCACACGGGGAAGCGCTTGAACCTGGAAGGGGGCGATGAGAACAACAATCGACGTTATCGTGGCGATTTTTAACGACGACGAACAGCACCGCGGCGATCACCACCGCGACCACCACCACCACGACCATCAACACAACCACCATGACGACCACTACCACCACCACGACCATCAACACAACCACCATGACGACCACTACCACCACGACCACCAACACAACCACCATGACGACCACTACCACCACCACCACGACCATCAACACAACCACCATGACGACCATTACCACCACCACGACCATAAACACAACCATCATGACGACCACCACCACGACCATAAACACAACCACCATGACGACCACTACCACCACGACCACCAACACAACCACCATGACGACCACTACCACCACCACCACGACCATCAACACAACCACCATGACGACCATTACCACCACCACGACCATCAACACAACCACCATGACGACCACTACCACCACCACGACCATAAACACAACCACCATGACGACCACCACCACCACCACGACCATAAACACAACCATCATGACGACCACCACCACGACCATAAACACAACCACCATGACGACCACTACCACCACGACCACCAACACAACCACCATGACGACCACTACCACCACCACCACGACCATCAACACAACCACCATGACGACCATTACCACCACCACGACCATCAACACAACCACCATGACGACCACTACCACCACCACGACCATAAACACAACCACCATGACGACCACTACCACCACCACGACCATCAACACAACCACCATGACGACCACTACCACCACGACCACCAACACAACCACCATGACGACCACTACCACCACGACCACCAACACAACCACCATGACGACCACTACCACCACCACGACCAGCAACACAACCACCATGACGACCACTACCACCACGACCACCAACACAACCACCATGACGACCACTACCACTACCACCACGACCACCAACACAACCACCATGACGACCACTACCACCACCACGACCACCAACACAACCACCATGACGATCACTACCACCACCACGACCATAACACAACCACCATGACGACCACTACCACCACCACGACCACGATCACCAACCACGACCATCACCACCACTACCACTAAAGACAAAGATCCCCCGTATAGCACCGTAACTGACTGTTGGGGCAAGTGCTGTTAGCGAGCACCTATGAAGGCCGGCACTGTGGCACACGAAGGGGGTGGGTGGCCAGCAACACCACGCCCGGCCGCCTTTGTCTCCCTCGTGGCGATGTTTACACACCGCACCAGGCATTCATTTAAAGCAGAGTCGACCTCGGGGAGGCCCAGGACCGGTTCAGATAATCGTTACTGGAGCAGAGGTGTGATTGCACGTGATAAATTTTTTTTTACTAAAATTGATTCATCCAATTAGTGTATCCATTGATCGATCGATCCGTAACATTGCATTACATCGATCGATTAACCAAGCAGCCTCACTAAGTTGGAATCAATTTCGGCAACTGCGGGTCTCTTACTCTGAGGGAGACCTGGATCAACACGTGGCGCGCGCTTGTGTTTTTTACGCGCAGATACCAATCAACACGCGGACAAACACGAATGTAACGTGTGTCCACGAGTGTCACTCGCGGTGTGCCCGATCTCTCCTGTGCATGTTGAACTTCTTTCACACCGTCCTACGGAGACAACCGTGCTCATCTTCAGATCTCCGAAGCTAATTGCAGGATTCCTTGAGCCTGCATAACGAATGTTCGGATGAGTGACCCACAAGTGCACAACAGGCGTTGTACGGCTGCCGCGAAAATGCTACGTTGCCAGCAGAAAGCATTGCAGCAAAATCCATTGTTGTACGGTACTATGCTCTAGCGCAGTGGTTCTTAACCTTTTCTGCAGCCCTGTATCCCCTTTGGTTCTCAAGCGTAATGAAAAAAAATTGTAATAAATACATAGGGCTTGAAGAAACAAAGTAGTTGTTACTTACGTGCCCGTGCTTATTTGTGATTCGATCATTTACCTTCAAAGAATTAATCTGGCCATGTCCCGCTACCCCCAGAGAGGGCATTTCGCACCCCCAGGTGAAAAACCCCACTGCTAACTTGCCGCCTTCAGCCAATTAATTACGAGTTGCGTTTATAATTACACACGTGCGAGATAACCAGAGCACGTGGATAAACCCCACGCCTTGCACGAGGGGAGCAACACTTTGTCCCTGTACAGACGGAAACAGATGGAGATTCGTCCACACTCGCTGTCCTGCCTTCTCCTGGTGAGCCAGGGTATGGGACCTCGACACCCACGGGAAGGGGGTTTCGCAACATCCGTCCGATCCACCACCCATCAGTGCTGGATTAAAGGCCACGTGCATAGTCACCACTGTCGTGTGGTGGTGAGGATGATGATAAATGCAAACATCGTTCAACACATCGATACCGGGTATGATGATGATGATGATGACGATGTTTTGAGAGAAAATAAATTGTAACGGACCCGTCTCCATCAATCGGTGTATCGAGCGAGAACTCACAACCAACGAATCAACTCACTCCATCCATCCCAACTCTAGTTTGTTAAAAGAAAGAGTCCCTATTGTGCTGATGTGTTGTGGTGCATTACTCATCATTATGCTGCGTTAAGTGAAGATGTATCTTTAAAACAACAATAAACCACATCTCACAAAAACGATGACAAAAGATCCCCCCGTATATATATGTACACAAGCGAACTGTTGGGGGCGAGGGCTATTAATGATGAGCAAAACTCTGACAGCCGTCAGGGTCACACGAGGTGGTGATGTGGGCCAGTGTCTCACCCCGGGTCGTAGTTTTTCTCCCCAATGCTGTTCTTCAACACCGTACAAGGTGTGAATTTTAAAGCCGAGTCAACCCAAGTGAGACCCTCCACGATCGGTTAAAATATCACTGGCCGCTCATGTCTAGCCGTGAACGTGAATGGAACTCAACAACAATAGCCATGAAGTGAAGGCGACGTCACCACAGAGCCTGTACCAGGCTAGGTGCACTTTAAGGCCGCGTGAAAGTGTTGAAGGGCTCTGCTGGCAGGAAGTCACGGGACAGACGCAGGTGCCATGGGTTGACTGACTGAGACGTCTGGCAGAGCCACCACCTTTGCTTGCCGCTGTGCCAACTCGCTGCGTTTTATCCGCCCGCCGCTCCGCTCGCTGTTGTGAGCTCCTCCGCCCTCCATTGCCGCACACACACACACACGTGTAAAGTGTACACACACGTGTATACACACACGTGTATACACACGTGTGTGGATTTGACCTTCTGTGCGGGGAACCACGCTTCGAGGCGACCAGACAGACTGACAGGCAGGCAGGCAGGCAGGTAGATGTTCAGGGCCACACCTGAGACACGGGTTGCGCAGGTAAGCCGGTGCCGTGTTCGTGAAGGGCGACACGGGTTTGTCCACGAACGAGCCGAAGCCCAGGCGGAGCTTGCTCGTGAGACGGGCCATGGCGGCCTCGAGCTGTGTGCCGAGCACGCGAATGTTGTCCAGGTCGTCCTTCATGGACAGCGACAGATCCATCAGGTAGTAGAGGTCGAGAGGGTAGTCCTCCACCTGGCGAACCTGCACGTGCACGGTCGCCGGGTCCCCTGCGAGCGCGCGCGGGCAATGAGGGCGCAAATGAGCGTTGGGTCAAGGGGGGCCCACAGGAGCTACGGTGACTTACCGTGTGAATGGACTGCGACGTAGTTGTCCGTGGATGAGGACCCGCACAACGGCGTGAGGGTTTAGAATACAGTGAGGGGGGAGGGGGAGGATAAGGGGCTGATGGTTGGCAGCAGGGATATTTGTTTTTGTCAGAGCACTACCATGGCAGTGTGCGAGGGACGCTGCAATGTGGAACACTGCTCAACGAATAGGAATGTGAGAGGCAATCCGTACAGCCTGAACTTGTTCCCCTACTCCAAACCTTAGGGCGTCCCTTTAAATTACAGCGGGGGCGCGGGTGATGGATCGCCCACTGGCACGCTCCTCTCGCGAGTCGCGCTCTCGCTTGCGATCGGCGGCGTCGCTTATTCATTCGCTGAGCCGCGTGGAAGAGCGCCCCCCCCCCCCCCCCCACAGGACCAATCGCCCGACGCACCTGGCCGGAGGGAGAGTGACACCTCCTGCGGGTAAATCTGCACCACTCCGGAGGGCGACTCTCTCGTCTCCCGCGTTTTCCCCGTCTCCACCGTTCTGGGCTTCTCGCTGAGCGGCAGAGCCTGGATCAGCTGCACCTGGCTCCTCGGGGCCTCCACCAAATCGGCTGGGCAGCCCGAGTGGAGAAGGCGCTCCTGGAGATCGCAGCGGGAGCGGCCGCCCGGAAAATCCTGGGGGGCAGTGGTGGTGGCGGGGGGGGGATGGGAGAGGCGCGCGAGCGTTCGGGTTTGAATGCGTTGAGTGAGCCATGTGAAGGAAGATTCACACAAGACACGATTTCTAGACGACAGCAAGAGGCGCGATTGTAACCGTAGGGCCGGTCCCCACCCACCCATCCACTCGAGAGAGAGAGAGCCCGCGTGGCACCGTGCTACCCTGATGATGTGGCGGCCTACACAGCGGCACATTGTTCCGCCTCCTCCGAATTAATCGCGCGCATTACGCGCCAGCAATTCTGGGCCTCTCCGTGAAATCGGGAGAGGCATCGCTGCACAAAGGGTGGCTGTGATGCGCGCTCACGGATTCGTGACCGCGACAACTGTGGATGAGGCGGTGGGTGGCGGGGGGGTCTATAGGAGGGGGAAGAGGCGATTACATCGGATGCCTAAACAATGGTCGTGTGAGTAGGGATCGGTTAATTGAGTAAAATTGATTGTTCCTTACCTGTGTATCGACAGATTTATTTTAATGTGCAAATTCGAGGGACTGTGTTCTGTCTTGGTGTGGTCTGGGACTGTTTTTGTTTCTTGTTTTGATGCCTTAGGCATGCATTTAGTGTTGAAAAATCCACAAGAATTGATGTACTTATGCAATTTGTACTAATATTGTATACTGTACCGCATCAATTTACGTTTAGAGACTTGTTTACCGTTATCTGTGTCGCACTGCTATCGTGCGTTTGCACTTTTTGTTGTTGTAACTCGCTGACCCGCCCCGACTGAACATCTGCCAAAAAAAAAGAGCTTCATAGCTCATCGGATTCCTCCTCCAGCAGTCCGAATCCGCAACCAATAACGGAGAAGGAACGAAGCGGCGATCGGTGCATCGAAAGGTCACTTTGGAATCGTGACAATGAACGAAGATGCCGAGCGGTCACGCGGCTGTCAAAGACGTCGGTCACGCCACGTGGCCCCGTCCCAGCTCGAGCTGGGACGTGATGGGTGTTAGGCGTGGGGTGCAGTGGGGGTGTACGGCGTAGTGTGTGTTGCGAATGGGGTGAAGTGGGTGTGATGATGTATGTGGAGGGGGTCTGTAGCTCCGTGGTGTTGGGGGGGGGGATGAAGGGGATGTGAACTACGATGTTCTTGTTTGTTATGAACGATGTTTTTTTTTTAGTTTACCAGGTAAGGCCCACCTGAGCAATGTAGCTCTTTTTGAGAAGCGACCCTGGCCAAAAAAAGGAATGAATGCTCAACGAAGTGGCTTATCACGTGGACATTTATAACAGCCACATTTTCTAAACACACATTTAGAAAAGTCCATGCGACCACGGGGGGAGAGAGAGCCACGCAAACTCCAAATATACAGCAGCAGGCGTCAGGCGTCGTCGGGATCGAACCCACGACCTCCTGTATACCAGGCGAGGTAGTCAACATCTCCTAGCCACCGTGATGATGAGAGAGAAACACGCAAACTCCAAATACACAGCAGCAGGCGTCAGTCGGGATCGAACCCACGACCTCCGCTATACCAGGCGAGGTAGTTAACATCTCCTAGCCACCGTGATGATGATGAGAGAGAGAGCCATGCAAACTCCAAATATACAGCAGCAGGCGTCAGGCGTCGGGATCGAACCCACGACCTCCGCTACACCAGGCGAGGTAGTCAACATCTCGCCACCGTGGCAGCCCTGGTGTGTGCGTGGGGGTGGATGGGGGCTGTATGGGATGTGTGTAGGTGGTGGTGGTTGGGGGGGGGGGGTGTAGTGTGTTGAATAGTGGGGGCACCTTCTGGGAGCACCAGGCGCAGGATGGGTGGAGGAGGAGGCATTCGGAGCAGCGCAGAGCTCCGCCCCCCGCACAGAGCCCCCCCGCGCCTGCTCCCTCGCCAGCTGCAGCCACCACAAAGACAAAGATCCCCCGTATAGCCTGTTGGGGCAAGCGCTGTAAGCGAGCACCTACGCGGGTCGGCAAGGCACACGAGAGGGCACCACGACCGGCCGCCTTTGTCTCCTCAGTGGCGATGTTTACACACCGCACCAGGTGCTCATTTGAGGCCGAGTCGACCTAGGGGAGGCCCAGGAACGGTTTAGATAATCCTCACTCGTGCTGACCGTGAGCAGGAATCGAACTCAGGTCGCCTGGTGCGTAGTGCAGTGCGCTAACCACTGCACTACCGCGCCCCACACGTTCGCACATTCACACAAGCCCTACTCAACTACTGAAGCACAGACACAAGCAAGTACACAAAGACAAATATCCTCCGTATAGCCTTAGCAGACTGATGTGGCAAGTGCTATTAGTGAGCACCTATGAAAGCCGGTACGGCACACGAGGGGGTGAGTGGTCAGCACCACGCCCGGCCGCCTTTGTCTCCCCAGTGGCGATGTTTACACGCCGCACCAGGTACTCATTTGAGGCTGAGTCGACCTAGGGGAGGCCCAGGACGGGTTCAGATAATCGCCACTGGTGTTTGTAGCGCAACGCGCTAACCGTTACGATACCGCTTCCCATACACAAGCACACACACACAGCTTCAAACACACAAACAACTTCACACACACAGCTTCACACACACACACACAACTTCACACACACACAACTTCACACACACACAGCTTCACACACACAGCTTCACACACACACACACAACTTCACACACACACAACTTCACACACACACAGCTTCACACACACAGCTTCACACACACACACACAACTTCACACACACACAACTTCACACACACACACACAACTTCACACACACACAGCTTCACACACACAGCTTCACACACACACAGCTTCACACACACACAACTTCACACACACACAGCTTCACACACACACAGCTTCACACACACACAACTTCACACACACACAGCTTCACACACACACAGCTTCACACACACACACAGCTTCACACACACACAGCTTCACACACACACAGCTTCACACACACGCACACAACTTCACACACACACAACTTCACACACACACAGCTTCACACACACACAGCTTCACACACACACACAGCTTCACACACACACAGCTTCACACACACACAGCTTCACACACACACAGCTTCACACATACACATATACACAACTTCACACACTACTTCACACACACACAGCTTCACACACACACACATACAACTTCACACACACACAACTTCACACACACACAGCTTCACACACACACACATACAACTTCACACACACACAACTTCACACACACACAGCTTTACTACCAACAACGAACAACAACAAACACTCACGCAGTAAGTATTGTCACGTTGCCCAACAAAGTCCTACTGGATGTGAATGGAATTCGTCGAATGTAACATTCGCCCCCCACTGGCACCGACTTGGTTCGCAGAGGGAAGACGATGGGAGCCGAGTGCGAAGCCATCTGCGACTCGGCCCAGCGCCACCGATGCTCGGGCACGAGAGAAGTTCGCTTCGTGTTCTCGTGTGGAGCTTGCAGAGACGACGATTAACCGCGGAGATGGAACGATGAAATCCGCTGGTGTGCATGAGCCAGTTGGATTGTTAAACGATGAGATCCGTCGGTGTGCACGAGCCAGTTGGATTGTCACATCGTTAGATCGTGAAAGATGATGATGGCGGCGGCGACGACGGCTTGGAGAGGTTTTCATCCAGCAGTGGGTAGATCATGACTGCTGATGGTTGCTGCTGACGACGAATTAGCTTCGTGACACAAACCAGGGCTGGAGAAGGGACGGGATATTCAACGCGCAGGCTCCGCGTGTCTAACGCGAGCGCGATTGTCATGGACACGGTGGTGGTGGTGGTGCTTGTCTGCACGTAGAGTCTGGAGGATTCCCGGCCCCTAATCGTTGCCACGTGCGTAAACACGGCCCTGCCGGGGGCTCCGCTCGTGCGCGCGCCGAGTGGCTTCCATCACGGCAGACGGTCGCGGACATTCCTCACGACTTTGTCGCGACCACTTCACGACTCGCAACCGGGACCAGCAACGTGCGCGGCGGGCAGAACGTGAGCGGGAACGCCTCCCCCCCCTCCTCCTCCTGCCTCTTCCTCCTCCTACTTGCTGTGGACTCCGGCAACTCAACGGAGCCGAGACGGGATAAACACTGTCATCCGGTCATCGCCAAAAGGCGAACCGTATATCCGCAAGTGATTTGTGGTGGAACGCGCCGCGGTGGTGGTGGCTCTGGGCTGAGCGACACTCCATACGCCCCTCCCCATTCTCTCTATCTCTAACCCATGCGAGATGCGGGTAACTTCTGCACAAGTGGGGAATGACGAGTCAGAGCCTCGTCGTGACTGCGGTGAAGCGCGATCCATCACTGGCGTCACCATTGTGTTGTGCAGGATAAGTTTATGTGTGAGGCTATGGGTCTCTATGTGAGTCTATGGGTCTCTGTGTGAGTCTATGAGTCTTTGTGTTAGTAGTCTATGAGTTTCTGTGTAAGTCTATGGGTCTCTATGTGAGTAGTCTATGGGTCTCTATGTGTGTCTATGAGTCTGTGTTAGTAGTCTATGGGTTTCTGTGTGAGTCTATGGATCTCTATGTGAGTAGTCTATGGGTTTCTGTGTAAGTCTATGGGTCCCTATGTGAGTCTATGGGTCTCTATGTGAGGCTATGGGTTTCTGTGTGAGGCTATGGGTCTCTATGTGAGTCTATGGGTCTCTATGTGAGACTATAGGTTTCTGTGTGAGGCTATGAGTCTCTGTGTGAGTAGTCCATGGGTTTTTTGTGTTAGTCTATGGGTCTCTATGTGAGTCTATGGGTCTCTATGTGAGGCTATGGGTTTCTGTGTGAGGCTATGGGTCTCTATGTGAATCTATGGGTCTCTATGTTAGGCTATGGGTTTCTGTGTGAGGCTATGGATCTCTGTGTGAGTAGTCTATGGGTTTTTGTGTAAGTCTATGGGTCTCTATGCGAGTCCTTGAGTCTTTGTGTTAGTAGTCTATGGGTTTCTGTTTGAGTCTATGGATCTCTATGTGAGTCTAAGGGTCTCTGTGTGAATCTACGGGTATTAGTGTGAGTAAGTTTGTCACTGTATGAGTCTATGGGCCTCTATGTGAGTCTATGGGTCTCTATGTGAGTATTCTATGGGTTTCTGTGTGAGTCTATGGGTCTCTATGTGAGTCTATGGGTCTCTATGTGAGGTTATGGGTTTCTGTGTGAGGCTATGGGTCTCTGTGTGAGTAGTCTATGGGTTTCTGTGTAAGTCTATGGCTCTCTATGTGAGTCTATGAGTCTTTGTGTTAGTAGTCTATGGTTTTCTGTGTGAGTCTATGGGTCTCTATGTGAGTCTATGAGTCGTTGTGTTAGTAGTCTATGGGTTTCTGTGTGAGTCTACGGGTCTCTATGTGAGTCTATGTGTCTCTATGTGAGGCTATGGGTTTCTGTGTGAGGCTATGGGTCTCTGTGTGAGTAGTCTATGGGTTTCTGTGTAAGTCTATGGCTCTCTATGTGAGTCTATGAGTCTTTGTGTTAGTAGTCTATGGTTTTCTGTGTGAGTCTATGGGTCTCTATGTGAGTCTAGGGGTCTCTGTGTGAATCTACCGGTATTAGTGTGAGTAAGTTTGTCACTGTATGAGTCTATGGGTCTCTATGTGAGTCTATGGGTCTCTATGTGAGTAGTCTATGGGTTTCTGTGTGAGTCTATGGGTCTCTATGTGAGTCTATGGGTCTCTATGTGAGGTTATGGGTTTCTGTGTGAGGCTATGGGTCTCTGTGTGAGTAGTATATGGGTTTCTGTGTAAGTCTATGGGTCTCTATGTGAGTCTATGAGTCTTTGTGTTAGTAGTCTATGGTTTTCTGTGTGAGCCTATGGGTATCTATGTGAGTCTATGGGTCTCTATGTGAGGCTATGGGTCTCTGTGAGGAGTCTATGGGTCTCTGTGTGAGGAGTCTATGGGTCTCTGTGTGAGTCTATGGGTCTCTGTGTGAATCTATGGGTCTCTATGCGAGTCTAGGGGTCTCTGTGTGAATCTACGGGTGTTAGTGTGAGTAAGTTTGTCACTGTATGAGTCTATGGGTCTCTATGTGAGTCTATGGGTCTCTGTGAGTCAATGGGCCTCTGTGTGAGTCAGCGGGGTCACTGTGTGAGTCTATGGGTCTCTGTGTGAGTCTACGCACAGAGTGATAAACACGCTCAGCTGTTTCGCCAATACCGTACGAACAAAGCAGAAGAAAGAACCCTCACCCCCGACTCGAATTCCAACGCTAACCCCACCCTCGACTCGAACCCGATCCCCCACACTCACCGCTCAGCGCCCTGGCGATCAGATGGAGGTGAAGGATCACGAATGTCAGGCTGGGGGGGGACATGGCAGGGCTGCCCCTCGCGCTGCCTCCCTCGGTTCCTCCTTCCCTTCGTCCTTCCTCTCTCCCCTTCCTTGAGCGAGGCTCGGCGCCGTGTGAGAGAATCAACGAGAAGAGAGGGCGCAAGGGGGGAGAGGAGCGAGGCGGGCGCACGTGAGGGGGTGAAACACAGCGGGGTACGTCTTGTGCGCAATCCTTACCAGGCGGCTCGACAAACTTCACGAAAGAAAAGGCAAAGAGAGAGAGGAGTTGGAGGAGGAAGCAGAGGGGGCGGGGAGGAGTGAGGGTGAAGGATGGAAGTAGGAGGATAGGAGGAGGGAGGAGGAGGGGGAATCGGCGTCAGCGAGGTCTCGGGGTTCGGTGTCGGTGCAGCAGCAGCGGCGGCAGCTGCAGCAGCAGCAGGCGCGCGCATCTGGCGACCGCAGCGGCGATGCACGTGGCGATGTGCGGCTCAGATTCCTCCCACTGGCTCCACTCCCCACGCCAGCTGTGTCCCGGCTCGTAACGACGACGACGACAGCAGCAGCAGCAGCCCCACGACAAACTACTTCACACTCGGGACCCGTTAAAATGACGACCGGTAAAAAAAAAACCGGTAACCGTTTGCATAAAAGAGTATCCGGTTAGGCGGATCGTTGGCCACGAACGTTTCGTCGCTCGGACGAATCGCTCGGCGGCCTCGGTGAGTTTCGCCTCCGATTAGCACGGGTGGCGACGTACGGTGCGAAAGAAGTTGAGCACGCACAAGTAGAGGCGCAGCCCTGGAAGTGCCTGCTCGCTTGCGCTCTGGAGGGTGTTTGGTCTACTCTTCCACGCTTGGCAGCAGCTCGGCTCACTGTGGCGTGCGCGTTTATTCCGATGGGTGCACAGAGGCAGGAGGGGGGCGGGGGGAGCGGGGGAATGTGGGGGACGAGGGGGTTAAGGATATTGACATCATGGTAACTAACCAACAACATTGCAATATTACAGTACTGACATAAGCAACGGCAGTGAATTGCACCTTTCTTGCAACAGTGGATATCCAAATGGATAATCTATATATAAGATCAATAAATACATTCCGAACGCAACGGATACAAAGGACAAGTTTTTTTTATTCGAATAATTCGAGAGGAGCTTATTCATTCTCATTGCTACTTTGAGGGTCAATTGAGCGGCTTTTCTGGCCAGTGCTTTGGCACCGATCTCGCTCGCCACCCCGCGCAGGAGGACGCCGGGCAGGAGAACCCCGGGCAGGAGGACCCCGGGCAGGAGGACGCCGGGCAGGAGGACCCCGGGCAGGAGGACGCCGGGCAGGAGGACCCCGGGCAGGAGGACCCCGGGCAGGAGGACCCCGGGCAGGAGGACCCCGGGCAGGAGGACCCCAGGCAGGAGGACCCCGAGCAGGAGGACGCCGGGCAGGAGGACCCCGGGCAGGAGGACCCCGGGCAGGAGGACGCCGGGCAGGAGGACCCCGGGCAGGAGGACGCCGGGCAGGAGGACCCCGGGCAGGAGGACCCCGGGCAGGAGGACGCCGGGCAGGAGGACGCCGGGCAGGAGGACCCCGGGCAGGAGGACACCGGGCAGGAGGACGCCGGGCAGGAGGACGCCGGGCAGGAGGACCCCGGGCAGGAGGACCCCGGGCAGGAGGACCCCGGGCAGGAGGACCCCGGGCAGGAGGACCCCGGGCAGGAGGACCCCGGGCAGGAGGACGCCGGGCAGGAGGACCCCGTGCAGGAGGACGCCGGGCAGGAGGACCCCGGGCAGGAGGACCCCGGGCAGGAGGATCCCGGGCAGGAGGACGCCGGGCAGGAGGACCCCGGGCAGGAGGACCCCGGGCAGGAGGACCCCGGGCAGGAGGACGCCGGGCAGGAGGACCCCGGGCAGGAGGACGCCGGGCAGGAGGACCCCGGGCAGGAGGACGCCGGGCAGGAGGACCCCGGGCAGGAGGACACCGGGCAGGAGGATCCCGGGCAGGAGGATCCCGGGCAGGAGGACCCCGGGCAGGAGGACGCCGGGCAGGAGGACCCCGGGCAGGAGGACTCCGGGCAGGAGGATCCTGGGCAGGAGGATCCCGGGCAGGAGGACCTCGGGCAGGAGGATCCCGGGCAGGAGGACGCCGGGCAGGAGGACCCTGGGCAGGAGGACCCCGGGCAGGAGGATCCCGTGCAGGAGGATCCCGGGCAGGAGGATCCCGGGCAGGAGGATCCCGGGCAGGAGGATCCCGGGCAGGAGGACGCCGGGCAGGAGGACGCCGGGCAGGAGGACCCCGGGCAGGAGGACGCCGGGCAGGAGGATCCCGGGCAGGAGGACGCCAGGCAGGAGGACCCCGGGCAGGAGGACCCCGGGCAGGAGGATCCCGGGCAGGAGGATCCCGGGCAGGAGGATCCCGGGCAGGAGGACCCCGGGCAGGAGGATCCCGGGCAGGAGGACGCCGGGCAGGAGGACCCCGGGCAGGAGGACGCCGTGCAGGAGGACGCCGGGCAGGAGGCCCCCTGCAGGAGGACCCCGGGCAGGAGGACCCCTGCAGGAGGACCCCTGCAGGAGGACCCCTGCAGGAGGACCCCGGGCAGGAGGACCCCGGGCAGGAGGACCCCGGGCAGGAGGACCCCGGGCAGGAGGACGCCGGGCAGGAGGACCCCGGGCAGGAGGACGCCGGGCAGGAGGCCCCCTGCAGGAGGACGCCGGGCAGGAGGACGCCGGGCAGGAGGACCCCGGGCAGGAGGCCCCCTGCAGGAGGCCCCCTGCAGGAGGACCCCTGCAGGAGGACGCCGCTGCGGCTGCTGCGGAGTCGTCCTCCAGTGGCAGGGGGCGCAAACGCCGGGCCGCAGTGATGAATCTCCACCCCCCACTCCCCCAACCCCTCCCCACCCCCCAAACCCCCCCCACCCACTCCCAACCCCCCCACCCAACCCCCCTCAACCACCCAACCCCCCCCACCCACTCCAAACCTCCCCACCCCCAATCCCCTACCCCCACCCACCCCCATCCCCCCAACCCCCCAACCCCCCTCACCCCTCACCCCCCCCCCCACCAGTAACGACGGCACGCGAGGATAAACGTCCCCGCCACCTCGCAGTCAATGACCCCCCCCTCCCCAACGCGACCACCCCCCCCTACCCCACCCACGTGATTGGCAAGTTGAGCAAACCCCGTCAATTAAATCTCTGAGATATTCTCGGCACACGGATCACAAAGCACCCCCCCCCAACTCCACCCTCGCGGGCGATTGGAAACGGAAGGCAAATGCGTCAGGAGTGATGATATCATTTTAATTATTAAACGCGCGGGGCGTGCATGGGGTGATGGCAGCTCCGAGAGTAATAATACGCGCACGCGGCTTCCTTGTTATTTTCACATGGCGTTTGAGGTAGCTGAGTGGAGTCGAACGCTCGTTCCACCAGAGTGCACGTGGTTGTACTGGGGTAGCTGAGTGGAGTAGTCTGCTAGTTCCACCAAAGTGCACGTGGTTGTACTGGGGTAGCTGAGTGGGGTAGTCTGCTAGTTCCACCAGAGTGTGCGTGGTTGTACTGGGGTAGCTGAGTGGAGTAGTCTGCTAGTTCCACCAGAGTGCACGTGGTTGTACTGGGGTAGCTGAGTGGAGTAGTCTGCTAGTTCCACCAGAGTGCGTGTGGTTGTACTGGGGTAGCTGAGTGGAGTAGTCTGCTAGTTCCACCAGAGTGTGCGTGGTTGTATTGGGGTAGCTGAGTGGAGTAGTCTGCTAGTTCCACCAGAGTGTGCGTGGTTGTACTGGGGTAGCTGAGTGGAGTAGTCTGCTAGTTCCACCAGAGTGTGCGTGGTTGTACTGGGGTAGCTGAGTGGGGTAGTCTGCTAGTTCCACCAGAGTGTGCGTGGTTGTACTGGGGTAGCTGAGTGGAGTAGTCTGCTAGTTCCACCAGAGTGTGCGTGGTTGTACTGGGGTAGCTGAGTGGAGTAGTCTGCTAGTTCCACCAGAGTGTGCGTGGTTGTATTGGGGTAGCTGAGTGGAGTAGTCTGCTAGTTCCACCAGAGTGTGCGTGGTTGTACTGGGGTAGCTGAGTGGAGTAGTCTGCTAGTTCCACCAAAGTGCGCGTGGTTGTATTGGGGTAGCTGAGTGGAGTAGTCTGCTAGTTCCACCAGAGTGTGCGTGGTTGTACTGGGGTAGCTGAGTGGAGTAGTCTGCTAGTTCCACCAAAGTGCACGTGGTTGTACTGGGGTAGCTGAGTGGAGTAGTCTGCTAGTTCCACCAGAGTGCGCGTGGTTGTATTTGGGTAGCTGAGTGGAGTAGTCTGCTAGTTCCACCAGAGTGTGCGTGGTTGTACTGGGGTAGCTGAGTGGAGTAGTCTGCTAGTTCCACCAGAGTGCGCGTGGTTGTACTGGGGTAGCTGAGTGGAGTAGTCTGCTAGTTCCACCAGAGTGCGCGTGGTTGTACTGGGGTAGCTGAGTGGAGTAGTCTGCTAGTTCCACCAGAGTGCGCGTGGTTGTACTGGGGTAGCTGAATGGAGTAGTCTGCTAGTTCCACCAGAGTGTGCGTGGTTGTATTGGGGTAGCTGAGTGGAGTAGTCTGCTAGTTCCACCAGAGTGCGCGTGGTTGTATTGGGGTAGCTGAGTGGAGTAGGCTGCTAGTTCCACCAGAGTGTGCGTGGTTGTATTGGGGTAGCTGAGTGGGGTAGTCTGCTAGTTCCACCAGAGTGCGCGTGGTTGTACTGGGGTAGCTGAGTGGAGTAGTCTGTTAGTTCCACCAGAGTGCGCGTGGTTGTACTGGGGTAGCTGAGTGGAGTAGTCTGCTAGTTCCACCAGAGTGTGCGTGGTTGTACTGGGGTAGCTGAGTGGAGTAGTCTGCTAGTTCCACCAGAGTGCACGTGGTTGTATTTGGGTAGCTGAGTGGAGTAGTCTGCTAGTTCCACCAGAGTGCACGTGGTTGTATTGGGGTAGCTGAGTGGAGTAGTCTGCTTGTTCCATCAAAGTGCACGTGGTTGTACTGGGGTAGCTGAGTGGAGTAGTCTGCTTGTTCCATCAAAGTGCACGTGGTTGTACTGGGGTAGCTGAGTGGAGTAGTCTGCTAGTTCCACCAGAGTGCGCGTGGTTGTATTGATTGGGCAGTCGTGAGTGATGTGCGCCCGATGGCTTCCACTTCACCATCGCATTCGCAGCTCGGTGGAAGAGTGCCTGATCGCTCCGTTTTTCGAGGAAAAATCGCCCACACGCCACCACCCTCCTCCTCCTCCTCGTCCACGTGGTGCTGTGGTTGTGGTGGTTGTGACGCGGTTGTTTAAAGCGACCGCCACCGTCGTCGAGGCAGCAACGAGAGGCCAGGGCTGTTGCTTCGTCTTCAGGCACCGCACGCGGTTCTCACCGCACGCGCTCGAGGCAGAAACGAAAAACCTCCCCCTGCTGCCGTAGACACAAGACAAACGAGAGGCATCGATGTGTCTACCCTGCTGATGATTCTTAACAGGGACGAAGCCGTCCATACAGCCTGTTCTCCTGCTGCTGCTGCTGCTGCTATTTGAAGCAACATGGGCCCATGGCTATGACTCTCCAGGGGGTAACGGTCTCAAATGAAACAAAGCTGCGTGCAGTTCTGCCTCTCGTCTCCAGGGGGCGCCCCCGCCACAGGAACGCGGAGTGGCGCGGCGAGAGGGGTTCAGAGCGACCACGCGATCCGCCGCGGAATGCTGAACGGAGGCGCCCCCTTGGAACAACGGCGACAGGAAGCGAAGGCGGGGATCAGAGAACGAACCCACGTTGGAGACATCGCGACGACCGCCAATAAAGTGGAAGTGGGCCGAGGCAGAGCACGTGCGAAGTTCAATATACGTACGGGCAGGTCACCGGAAGGCATGATGGTGGGCGGTCCAGACTCATCACGGAGTGGCAGCCCATGGGGTGAACGCACAAAGGCAAAGATCCCCCTCATAGCCTTAACAGACTGTAGGGGCAAGTGCTGTTTGCGAGCACCTATGAAGGCCACAACGGGACACGAGGGGGGTGGGTGGCCAGCACCGCGCTCGACCGCCTTTATCTCCCCAGTGGCGATGTTTACTACACACCGCACCAAGTACTCATTTTAGGCTGAGTCGACCTAGGGGAGGCCCGGGACCGGTTCAGATAACCATCACCGGTGTTGGCCGTGAGCGGGAATGGAACTCGGCTTGCCGGGTTCATAGCGCACACAGGGGCGTCCATAAATGACGTCACGCACATAGTGGGGGGGGGGGGGTGAGACATTTGTGACGATGTGTGACGAGGGGGGTGGGTGGGGATTTGAGAAATGTGACGTCACATAACAATACGCAACTTTAAATAAATATAGACAACACGTTCTACTTAATTAAATAGACTTTTTAATACATCTTAATACACGTACACACACACGTACACACACACACGTACGTACACACACGTACGTACACACACGTACACACACACACTACACACACGTACACACACACACACGTACACACACACTACACACACGTACACACACGTACACACACACATGTACACACACCCCCCATCACCTCCCGTTCATCTCGAGCGCTGGTCTACCCCTTGCCGCCTTTCAGGGACCCCCCCCCTCCCCAACCCTCTTCCTTTCAATTAACTGTCCCCGTGTACAATCGCGTCCGCGGAGAGGTCCATTGGCGAGGCTGCCCCGTGCCACGTGGGCGCCTCCGAGCGCGCCGAAGTCGACTCGCCCCCTGCGCCCCGCGCGAGCATTAAGCCGCGTGAGAGATCGCCTCGCTCCGGCAAGCACGTCCACAACGTCAACCCTGCACGGTCGCTCCACGGGGATTGGGGGGGGGGGGTATAAGGGGGGTGGGAGTAAGGGGTTGGTTTGTCTGATAGTAGAGATTGGGGGGGTATAAGGGGGGTGGGAGTAAGGGGTTGGTTTGTCTGATAGTAGAGATTGGGGGGGTATAAGGGGGGTGGGAGTAAGGGGTTGGTTTGTCTGATATTAAAGATGGGGAGAGGGGGGGGTCACGGGGCGAGAAAGATGAACAAACAATCGACTCGTGCTGTCTTCGCGCGCAAGACGGATTTGTGTTCCCGCTTGCCGCTCACGGGCCCTGCGGGATAAGACGCCTCGCTGAGGGTCCTGTCAAGTTGCAGTTTTGTTGTTGCATGGTATGGGGTATTTGTTTTTAAGCTAACGAGGAGGGGGGGGGGCTGGAGAATCCGGATGAAGCCCGTGCAGATCAGGGGGCAAGAGAGAGAACGTCGACACTGCACGGGGAAAGGCGCCCGAGTCGGGAATCGAACCCGGGGGACCCCCCCCTGGTGTGAGACACGAGTCTCAGCCTGCCGCCCTGTGTGGTTGTTGCTGTTGTTGCTGTTGTTGTGTTTGGTTGTGCCGACAGCGAGGCCATCGACAGCCGCAGCGGGGATTGTGTTTCTGATGAAACGAAACTCTGAGAACAACACACTACCCTAGCCAACCAGCACTCCCACACTACCCTAGCCAACCAGCACTACCACACTACCCTAGCCAACCAGCACTCCCACACTACCCTAGCCAACCAGCACTACCACACTACCCTAGACTACCACACTACCCTAGCCAACCAGCACTCCCACACTACCCTAGCCAACCAGCACTCCCACACTACCCTAGCCAACCAGCACTACCCTAGCCAACCAGCACTACCACACTACCCTAGCCAACCAGCACTACCACACTACCCTAGCCAACCAGCACTACCACACTACCCTAGCCAACCAGCACTCCCACACTACCCTAGCCAACCAGCACTACCACACTACCCTAGACAACCAGCACTACCCTAGCCAACCAGCACTACCACACTACCCTAGCCAACCAGCACTACCACACTGCCCTAGCCAACCAGCA